GGGGGTTTGAGTGGGGGCATGGGTGTCCATGCTCAGGACATGAAAGCACGAGGTCGCTCGGGTGTTTCCCAATAGGAATAGCTGTTCATGACTCACATGACATCAGCTTCTTTGCTGCGCCGCTTGTTCAGCTGCACACAGCGATGTTCACGCTATGTTACGCTACACATGCGCCTGGTTACACACTTGCACCGGCACATGAGATAGCATGCAGAACATACCAGGGCATGCACATCTTATGGGAACATGACAGGAACATGACAAGTTGGCTGGTTTGCGCGTTGAACTGTAACATTAACATAGTCAGAATATGTAGCTAGCAACACCGCTGTACACCACTGAGCAGGCTGTCAGCAAAGAGTGCCTGCGTGCAGGAGTTGAAAAGTCTCTTGTTTACGATGGCTCTTGTTCAAGTTCCGGGCTGTGTACCTCTGACAGCAATGAGGTGAGACACAATCGGTCTGCAGACGTTGCTGGCACAAGGGTTCTAGTAGTCTTGCCAACCCCAGTGAGCTTGTGTGAAGCCTTTCAAGCAGACATTCCGGAATCCCCTTAAATGTATCTTGATAAGACTGGGTAAGTAGGCTGGTGCACGCTTTGCTTTCTGCTCTGTCAAGCTTGGCTCAGGCACACGTTAGCCGAGTTCCTACTCGGTATGCTCCTGGAATCCTTGCAGGCATGCTAATGGACCGGCTCTTCTATGGTTGACACTTTGAATTTGTAGCCTGAGCTAGGACCAGCGTTTCACCAATGTTTCAGCACCTCAAAGGGACAAAGTGCCCAGAGGGCCGGGGCCTAGCCGCGTGAGCACGCGCGCTTTGAGCGCTAGGCCCCTGGGTGTTGCAGCATGCTTGTCGAGTTTGCGCAAACATCGGGTCCTAGCCTAGCTTAAATTAATGATAGTACTGGTATGTTTATTAATACTGTTAATACGAGTAGTACGTCTGAAGAGTATCAATATGATTAAGAATATGCAGGATATGAATAAAGTTCATAATGTTATTATTGCGAATCGTTTCAGAACCTCAATAATCGCAAGAAACATGAATAAAATTGAGACTATTGCGAGTCATTGCGAGTATTCAAAATATTCATGTTATGAGCAACATTAATATTATCAAGAATATGAAGAAGATTCAGGCATGGACAGCCAGCTAGATGGACAAGGAGAACAAGGAATCGACAAAGGGCGACAGCAACAGTGGCAGTCAGCATTGGCTACAAGTCAACATCACGACCTCAGCGAGAATCTCAACAACGAACAGCACAAAAAGAAAAGACACAACAAGCAAATGCACGACTCGACATCCCTGCCAGCTGGGGTGGAACTGGGAGCGCTTGATAGCAGTGTAAACGCTGAAGAAAGGTATGCAGTCTCTTTGTGTGGGTGCAGTCCGCAGGAATTTGATGGTTCCACGTGCTCGCCCCCCCCGCTGACCGAACGGCTCAATCAGGCTCAGTTTGGCGCCAGAAAGTCAGGAGCAATGCCGGCAAGTGCTTCATGCAAAGGCTTTAGAATCGGAGGCTCTACGAGTAGCTGCAAATACGCCACGATTCATGTTGCCTGTGGCATGCCAGTCACTAGTCGCCGTAGAGGTTGCTGGAGTAAGTGCTGCACACCAAAGCTCAAGCCTGTGCGTAGGAGGAGGGGGGGGGGACGGGGGCTCGACTTTCATGTCTGCCAAAGCTGCAGTCGCATGAGCAAAGGCCAGGACATGCCTCATGGCAGAGTGCATATAAGTACCTCGCCCTAGACGTCTCCGTTCCCGGCTTTCAAGCGGCCATGTGGCTGTGTAGGATCTGGGGCACTTGTTAAACTTCTCTCTCTTCCCCCGAGCTAACTCAGGCCATGTGCCAAGAGCTTCACACGGCGCAGTGCAAGTGCGCCAGGCCGTTGTGTAGGACGGAGTCGATGTCGAATCATGATGTCGATACTGAATTCCACAAGAATCGCACAACAGAGCCGCAGTTGGTCGTTAGACTCGACGTGCGCACTCGCACACCGCCATCAACACAGCACACGACACAGCACAAATTGCGTTGCTTGAGCTGCTCACATAAGCAAGCTTCCCTTGGGCCTGCTGCTTATGCGGCAAGTCGTTGTGGATGGTCGCTGGGCTTTGATGCTAGCAGCCAGCAGCTACTGTGAGGACGCCTGCCATTGCAGAGAATGCACAGAGAGAGCGTGGGCGCGCGTCAGCCCCGTGTGCAGGGCGTCGACGGGCGCACCGGTGGCAAGGACACGAAGAATACGAAGAGGCCAGGTCAGTCCAGAATGCAGACTCGAAACATCTGGCGGATTCTTGCACAACGGACTGGCATATTATGGCTCTACCATCTTTATCCATCTTTGTCTCACTCAGCCTGCGCAGGGACCTGGGCCTTGTGAACCATGCAGAACGTTCGCGCAGCGAGGAGAGGCTTCGTGTTGTGCCGGGTTCAGGCTTCCCAACGCAGTTCTCATTTGGCACCTTCGTGCCATATTATGGAATGCGCGAATCACGAACGTTCCGGCACGAAGCGTTTCTTCGGTGAAGTTGATTCGAGGCCTGCCTACCAAAGGCAACAGCTAGTTGAATTGCCTCAATACCAGTAGCCGTTCTGTCTGGTCATCATCGTTCAATCATAATGCTTTAGGAGAACACGTTTTCACACGGTCGTGGCTACAGATTTCACATTCCAGACTTTGGCATTGAAGGACAGCTCTGCGAGTCTGCAGTGCAGGGCCCTCGGTGTCAAAAACTCGCAATGCACGCATGCGTTGTGGGATTCTGCTATACCGTCATTATGCTGTCGAAATATATGTTTCTGGACTCTAGACGGCCGCAGAAGCGAGGTGCCATTTTAAGTAAGGGTTGCCTTGTGATGGGTCATGACTAGTTGGACCTCTTCTTGGTGCGCCATCGCACCTCAGCTCCAAATTTTCAGTGTTCAGACGCTTCGTTCTTGAGGCATTCTGCTCGAGGACATCCGGGTGACGCGCTCAGCCCTTGAAGAGCATCCGCCAGCTTGGAGACTGTAGACGCATTTTGGTGTGCCAGCCTTTGTAACTAGGGGGGGGGGGGGAGGGGAGCGAAGAACTCACCAACTTGCTGAGGTGGCCACTGAGGGATATCGAATAGACTGCGCCAGGCACAGACTGGGGGGGGGGGGGGGGGGGTTGGGCGCGTTTCTTCCCACTTACTGCAGATTCGCACATGGATCAGTTCATATCAGAGCTCTCCGGCAATCTCCGGATCCGGTTTGCCGTCTCAGCTGGTCCTTGAGGACGGAGGCTGCTCTTCAGCCGCTGCGAAAGGTTGTGCAGCAACTCCGGGAGGATTTTCGGGGTGGGAATAGGTGGCTTTTTGAAGATGGTTTTCGGATGTTTTCAGTCAGCCGCGTTGCGAGATCTGTGAGGATGGTGGTGCAAGTTCTCGCTGCTGCAAGGTAAATTGAGAGTTTCCCACTGCACCTGGCTTTCCCTTGATGCTTTTGTCCAGAGCACCTCGCCTGAGCTACCTCCAGCCCATACACGTCACCGCAGGCAATCGGCTCAGGTAGAGCAAGAAGTGGCTTGGGCGTATGCGGGTGTAGGGGGTGCCAGCGGCCAGGGTGAAACATGCTGAATCACATGGATCTGTTTGGGGTTTAGGCATAGCCACGGCGAGCATGTTTAGGTTGTTGCACATTAGCGGCAGCCAAGACAACCGAAAGATTACTGCTTGACTGCTAGACTCCCAGCTCTCGCAGCATCTTCAATATCTTGAGTTAAAGGCTGAAGCAGACACCTTCTAGAAGAGTTTGTCGCCTGCAGCGGTCAGACAGCCAGGCCTTGCCGAACATGCTTTTGCGACACGAGGGTCCCAGTTCTTGGGTCGGTCCATGCACGTGGAAGCTGTAATGTATCCGATGGTCATACCAGAATGGCACCTGACTCAACAAAGCCTTCAAATTGCAGCAAGCCAGGGGTTTGGTTTTGAGTTTTGACCTTGCATTGCATGATTGTTCTCCCCTTCTTTCAGATGCGCATGTATCTGGATCCGAGCCCCACAGAGGCTTGCTGTTTCCTTCAGTCGCTATTTGTTATCGAGACAGGACCATGGCAATGGCAAAGCATCGTGGCAACAAAATGTTCGAGTCGCCGCCGCTTGAGCGGGAAGGCTTGGTTCGCAGCATCCGGCGAATGCCACTCCTACTTGTAGGTCTCCCTGGGCCGCTGCAGTACTTGTTTTGATTCTTGGAGGATTCTTTTTGACGCCTGCTTGTGGGTCGATCTTTTGCTTTTGGATTCTGCGCCCATGAGAAAGTGTTGAGAGCACAAATCACTCGAAGGTCCCAAGGTCCTGTAAGCAGTGAAAGTTTAAAGAGCCAAAGCTATCATGGAACCATGGCGCCAGTGGAATGTGGGAATAAGGTACCGCTTCTTCCCCCTGTAAATACCCTTAATTAAGCTTTAAGGGATTATCTATGGTACCTTCTTCCTCCATTCCCTACGAGCCAACAGCAAGTTGCCAGGGTGTCTGTGTTTTCGCGCAGGCGTTGGATCCGACCTCCGCAGCTTGGAGGGCTACCGGCAGGACCTTGCGGGACTCCCAGATCTGAACATAGATCTTCCAAAACCTCCTAATTACAAGGAGGATACCCTAATCTTTACTAAGGATCATGGTTGTGAGTTCGGGTCTTCTCCTTAATTAAGGGGTACACAGTCGTGAAAGGCAGCGGCAAGCCTTGGCAAAGGGGCCAAAGGCATCATGGCCGAAAGAGCCGGGCAGCCGCTTGCTGAAAGCTTGACACTTAGGCCACGATCACTGTCCGCATCGAGCGAATCTTGGAGGCTGGCAGAGTGCCTGGTTCCACTGACTCGGGCCCGGGCATGTTCGCTTGTAGATCGCCAAGTAGTAGGATCCCCTCGGCCTGGCCCGAAGACCTAGAAACCCTCACCGATGAAACCGACTTCCCCGGGGTGTGATATCTCAGTTGTCCATTGAAGGAACCTCCCAGACGAAAATGGGCGAAACATGGGGAAGCCTGCACAGGCACAGACGGAGAAGGTGGCTGGTGCTGCTGCTCAGGCATGTGTCTCTGCACTATATTTTTCGATTCTCCAGTTTGTGAATGCTGTGTGCTTGTACACCTCAAAGATTTGGGTGCCCTCTTGCCTCAGAACACGAGCTGTGCATGTTGCAAGGTGTGCACATTATGCCTCCGCTGAAACGGTTTCTGGCACGTCAATAGCTTCCCCAGTAACGGGCTACCCGGCTCGTTGCAAGTTGCACGACAAGTCGACATGCTCTGCAGCTTTTGAGATGTCAAGTTCTGAAGTGCAGAATGCGGCCAAAGGCCGCTGGTGCACCCGGAGGCATTAGAAATCTCGTGATCGCCGGATTTCTCTCGGTATCGGTGTCAGCCCGTGTGCTGACACTCGAAATATCCGGGACGGATGCCGGAGACTGCACAACGCCATGTAGAAGCCTCGACTATGCCATCCGGCAGCTCTCCCCAGGACCCAGAGAGGTTTTTGCTCTAAGTTGCATATTCAGGGTCGGGTTTAGGGTGGAGATGCTGCAGATGATGCTTATACAAGCCAACTGAGCCATTCTGCAGGAGACCGGGTACAGGTTGGTGCGGGCACCTTTTCTGGCTCGTTGAACCGCAGCCTGGCAGATTGCACCGAAGGAGTTTCCATTCCCCATTGCCGCGAGCTAGCTTGCGTTGCCGTCTTGCCTGAGCTTCGTTTCGCAGGCCAAAAACCTAAGGCTGCTGTTATGTTTCAGTGACAGCGAAAGATGGCCATGAGCCAACATGAATCCCGCAAGGTAATCTGAGACCCAGCGACGTGGGCGTAGCAAACTTCTCAATCGAAGGCCGCTCCACGGATTCGAGCCTTGGCAAGCAACCTCAAGCTGCCTTTTGCTGCCCCTGCGCTTCCATGGAATGATGCGTGCTTGTCGTTTGCACGGAGTAGTTCCTGGTTACATCAAATTGAAGGCCATGTAGGTGGTGGAAACAGGGGTCTGTACCCAGGACAGGTTCTGGAGACCCCATGACAAGAAATCTGGGGTTTGGGTGTACCCCCGACAACTTCTCTCCTGATCACGACAGCGCGACAGCATGACAGAGTAGGGTGTCGGGTGCATCGGCTTAAGCCATTTGGCTCCAACTGGCGGTCTAGCAGTCTAGCCCCAGTCGGTTTAAGCAGTGGGAATGTGGGCATGAGTGGTGCATCGGCTTCAGTGCTCGGCTTCAGTAGTGGGCATGAGTGGTGCATCGGCTTCAGTAGTGGGTGCATGCAGGTTGTCGTGGGTACAAGTGCTCAAGAAATAGCGGGGTTACAGACCCCCCTCGTCTGGTGCACAGCGCCTCCCACCAACTGAACAGAAGAACTCCAACTGAACAGAAGTACACATGTGGCCAATTTCAAAGCGAAACCATGGATCCTGCTGGTTCCACCGTTTGTCAAAGGATGCATCGCTCCACCTATACGAGGGGGGATCCATGGTTTCGCTTTGAAATTGGCCACATGTGTACTTCTGTTCAGTTGGAGTTCTTCTGTTCAGTTGGTGGGAGGCGCTGTGCACCAGACACTCCCAACCAAAGCCAAGTGCGGAGCGAAATAGCTGTCCCACGTTGTGAATTCCAATTCTTGCTATCTTCGTCGCTTGCTCAGACTTGGCACGAGCAGCCCTATTGTAGCAGCGCTAACTAGCAAAGAACATGCAAACACGGTCTTTTTGATGTCTTTTTGTGAGCCACAGTTGACGTGGGGCGAAGAAGGATCAGTGCTGTTACCACAAAATCCGGGGATGCCTCGTGGGGCTGCTCAGGGCTACTCAGCTTGTACTCAACTCAGGACTATTTTTGACTTGGAGAGAGCCGGCCGATTCATGTGCCCGTGCGGTGTCAAGAGAATCTCGGGATGTTGCATCTTCCGATGCTGCGCTGATCTGTGCTGCTTTCCTCCCGGCAATTCCTGGGATTCCTAGCCGCTCTAGCCCTAGCCCCACAGGTACTTGGATGCAGCTGCAGGAGAGGTTGTCATTCAGAGGCTGGCCATCCGCAATGGGCTCTGCGCCGCACTTCCTAGTGATCGCCATCTGGTCGCAAGGATTCAAGCTCTTACTACGTATCACGAAAGGCAAAAGTGGCTAAGCTTGTTTTGGAATCGGGCCAAACCCCTTGGAGTTGTCTATTTGTTGAGAATTCGGAGGCAGCAGTCGTATCATGAATTCGCATCGCCCACTGACCATATTCTATTCTATGCTTGGCTATGCTATTCTGTTTTTGTGTTCCATGATTTTTCTTGCCTTTGATTTCACACCCCCAAGGCAATGGTGCCGGGTTTCAGCTTGTACAGTCGTCAGCGAAGTTGCGTGACATCCGGATGAGCCGCTGGGAATGATCTGAAGGTGCTAGGCATGGTTCTTCAGCTCAGGCCAAGCAAAAGGCCAGTAAAGGGTAGAGCAAGTTTGTTGGAGTGAATGCAAGGATAGCGGAGGAAAGGACAGCATCAGTTCAGGGTGCCGCGGACAGCGATAGCAGAGTTAGTGGAAAGCAAAATGTCTTTGAAGGTGCATGCCTAGGCTGTGGCATGGAGCTTGGCCCAGCTATGCAACCATTTTTTCATCGTCGCAAGCCACTCGTTGTTTCGCATGTCAGGAAACTGCCGTGTCGCGGAGGAATGGCTGTGATTTTGTGCCTGAGGTCAAATGGACTGCAGCTTTGAGGGAACTCTTCCTCGTGAGTTTAATGGAGGTGCCCTCTACCTAAAGGACTCCACGGCCTTGGTGCAAAACCTGCACGTCACCGAAACTCGCTGGGAGTAGAAAGCCGTTTTGACGTATGTCGCTTGTTGACACGGTGTGCCGGGTGTCGTGGCTGCGCTCTGAATCGGAGCATGAGCCCGTGATAGAATTTGCTAAGGACTCAGTGGCTAACCATGGTGCCGGTGTGGGGTCATGGGGAGCGGATGCTTCCGTTATTGAGGACTCCGCCTTTGAGCGGCTGAAGGGAGTTCACTGGGGCGGAGCGATGCTGATGGAGGAGCATGCGCGAACCGAGTTCCATCGCTGCTGGTTCTCACAAGGCCATTCGCCCTATGGAGGTATACTGGATGATGGAGGTGAGGCAAGCCCCTTGTATGTGGACTGCGTCTTCGATCGTGGGACAGCACTCCATGGCTCTAGCTACTACGGCTATGGTCCCTAGTCTGAACGAGCCTAACCACGGAAGGGTCGGTCCCACGGTAGGATGCTGATGTGACGAAGCACTTGCTTGACACCTGAGGCACGTCAGCCACGAGGTTTTACAACACCACCTTTCAGAATGGCCATGCCGCTGGGCATATCAGGAGTAGCGCAGGTTTCGAGAGAATCAGGCGTGCAGGCTTGCAGTCCACACTCGAGCTGTGGCAAACGTGGTGCATCTGGGCCCAGGCGACTTCTTCCGCAGCTCTGTACCTTTCAGCCACGGTCAGCCCCATCTTCGAGAATGCGGCTTGCATGAAGCCGCTGCACAAGCGCAAAGCCTTAAGCTGTCAAAGGCTTGTGTTGAGCTTTCTTGGAGGCCCCGAGATGGGCCAAAGGTGAGGTGCAAGTGCCAATGGATTGTGTCTTCACTTCTATAGTGGCGCCATTGCGTTAGCTTGATTCTTCTTGATTCTGCGAATCCAAGATTACACTCGTGAACAACACGGCGAATGTTGATGTGGCCGGCGTGCGCATCTTTGTCCCCACGGGCATCACGTTCAAGAACTCTCGTTTCATTGGTAACCGTGCTCCATCCAGCGGTGCGGACGCGGCCATCGTGGTGCGGGACCCAGTGTTGCTTAAGGGGTATATACCTCATGTAGTCCCCATATACCTAAGTAGCCCCTAAATAACCTGTAAATAACTGCGAAGGTCCCTTTGTTGTAAGGGTCCCTCCTTTAGTCCCTTGAGTATAGGAGTTCTGTGGTTGTAGGACATGGGCAGCTCAGTGGCCAGCGGCATGCAGGTCACCTATACCTGTGTTTGCATATGTATGTATCTAGACACGCACAGTCGTACATGCGTACATCTGGGCAACACCAAGACACAGCCCTCCGGGGAGCTTTAGGAGTTTGAAGGCTGTTTCGAGAACTGGTCGTGCTTGGTCGATGTAGATGAGCCGTTTCAGGTGCCAGAAAAACAACACATGTCTCGAATAGTTGCTTTGTCGGTGCCGATAGCGACGAATGTCTCGAGGATTTTGGTCTGCATCATCATCGCAAACAGTTGTCTCGAGGACTTGTGTGTGTCTTCGCCAGAAGCGACGAATGTCTTGAGTTGCTTGCTTTGTTCCAACCCATCATTCCAAACAAATCTCGAGGATTCTGTTGCGTCTTTTTCAATCAACAACAAATACCTTGACGATTCTGCCAGGCACCATCGACATCTGTCTCCAGGATTCTGCTCACTTCTCGCCAAAAAAAGCATGTCTCGAGGTTAGTGGTTTATCTGTGCGCATGTCGATGCTCCCGGTGTAAGACAGGGCAACCTGGTAAGTGGACCCCACATGATGACTGGGGTCCGGATCCAGAAGATGGAGAGCTGCAACTGTTGACATGTTGTTATTTTCGCTTGTGACTTTGTCATCGTGTTTTCTGCTGCCCGAGACCAGGCTCTCGAGCGGGGGCTCCAGGGGATTCCAGGTTTTTCATCTGAGCAGTCATTGCGCAACACAGGCCCAAAAAAAAGAAAGCTGTCACCCAAAACAACAGCATCCGCCAATGATGCTTCCAAGCCAAGAAGCATGGAAGTCGAGGTAAGCCTGCGGACTTGGAACAAAAGGACCAGCGGGACCAGAAGCAGAAAAGATCCTTTCGGAGTCGTTTGGGGAAACTCTGTCACTTGTGCCAACAGTCACAAGGATGATGTGCCGGGGTCGCCATCCTCGTATCTGTTGTCAACTTTAGACCCTGAACTAGTCGTCGTGCGTGAAAAGTTCTGGCAAATGCGGGGTCCCAGAAGGAACTGTTGAAACAAAAGGGGTGAGGGAGCAAAGGCAAGCTCCACCTGATGTAGGCACGGACTCTGTGGGGTAGATGTAGACTCAGTGGAGGTAGAGCAGACGGTCGCCGTCCCGGGGATTGTAGCGTTTACCACGATGGAGAGTTCTGTCTCTCTCTCTCTCTCTGTGTGTGTGCGTGTCTGTGTGTCTGTGTGTCTGTGCGTCGGTGTGTCTCTGTGTCTCTGTGTCTCTGTGTCTCTGTGTGTCTGTGTGTCTGTGTGTCTGTGTGTCTGTGTTTTATGTGCTGGCATGGGCAGCGAAGTCGTACTTGCGATAAAAGTTCGGATGCTGACCAGGCGGGCGCCGGTGGCTTGATTCTGGAGGAGCATCTCTTGAAAAAGGTAATGTTCAAAAGCAGGGTCCAGCAAGTTGATTCAAGTTGATGGTGTTCCAATGTGTTCCGTGCAGAGTTTTGACCAGATGTCGGGCAGAGGGCCAAGCTTTCTTGGGGAATTGAGATGGGTGAATATATTTAATATAATATAATAGAATATAATAGAATATAATAAAAATTGCTTGTAAATGGAGGGCAGATGCTCCGCTTTTAGCTGAGGTAGTAGAGATGCAGATAGAGGCAGATCTGGCTTTCTCACTCTGCTTGAGACAATGTTTGAACTACTATTTGCTTAAGAATCCCAAAAGAATTTAAAACAAAAAAAACCTATATTACCCCAATAAGGGGGAATATTTTTTATTAGTGAAGTCCCAAGCCAGGACTGTCTCTTTGAAGGCAACCTTCCTTCGGAGCCTGGAGCTACCATTGGCCTTCGGGCGGCGTGGATGAGCATTACCTAGTCGCGAGCACTAGGGCACTACGTCTGTAGGGCTTAGGGTTTTGGGTTTAGGGTTTAGGGTTAGGATACGATGAAGTTATGCTTGTGTGTCCGTGCGTGTATACAAGAGAAATAGCACATCAAGGGAGAGGGCACACACAGTACACACAGGAGATCTGTAGTAGGTGTGCCCACTGATTGGAATCTCTCAGCTAGCCTGATACATCTTCGATCAGGATCTGTTTTCTGCAGGTGCGGCGTGGAGGCGGGCATATGTGGCTGCAGACAGCTCAGGTTGTTTCTGAAACAGATGCCCCCAGCATTTTCCGACGCGTTGTGTTTCGCAACAATGGGCACCTCGGCTTCATTTCATAGACTTCACGAGGATCGACCCCCTTCAAGAAGGACCTTCGGGTTTCCGCTGCCTGGGCGATGAACTGTCCAACTCTCCAAGTTGATGCGCAGAGAGACCATACCAGGGAGCATGTCGCCTAGCCATGCACGCACCTGCGCTTTGTTTGGGCTAAGGCTAAGCTGATAAGCCCCAAGTTCCAGGCTACTCGTACTTGGCTTGTTCTGTGCCAACACAGCCAGCAGTGCCAGGCAAGCCGTGGTAATGAAGGCATCTCATCGGGCTGGTGCAGTTAATCGGGTCCACATGGAAGATGTGGTCTTTGAGCACAACGCGGCGAACGACTTTGGAGGGGCCATTGAAGTGAATGGTCAGGCTGAGCTTTTGGTCCCTCGGTGCTGTGATTGGCCAGGGTACTGTAGCGAGTGTCGCATATCTTGATAAAGTTTTAAAGGCGTACCCAAATCACCAAATCTCGCAAACAGTCTCATGCTGAACAACTGAGGTCTGCAATTCCATCTTCCGGAAGAACTCTGCGCAAGGCAACGGCGGCGCCCTCGCCGTGTTTTCAACTGGTCCTGCATACATTGAGATCCTCGACTCTGCTGGGCAGAAAAGCGTGTTTTCTTGAACAAGTTGCATTCGCCTGGAGAGTTCCCCTGCTGAAGCCAAGGATCAACAGCTCCCGTTTCGAAGGCAACTCTGCCAATGGACAAGGCCGCCACCGGTTGTCCTGACACTCAACACGTGTTCTACATGACGACGACGAAAGTCACATGCCATGAGCAAAAATGAGAAACTGATGCATGTTTGTCCGTTTCAAACATGCAGCAGCCGCCTCTGAAACCTATCGTTGCTGACAAAAGGCAGGCTGCATAGGCTGCCAGCTGGCTCAGCATCTGCAGAGCAAAGCGGCATCATGGATAGCTAACTGCTTTAACTGCATGCTGTGTACAAAACAGCGTGACAAGAATGGCAACCACGGCACATCGAGGACCATATTGCACGCTTCTGCAACATGTAGCCGAGAGTGCCGCTTTTGTGCTAAATGTGCTAAATTGCTCCTTTCCTGGGATGTCAGCTAATTGCAGGTTTCAAGCGTTTCCAGGTCCGGAAGGCTGTGCATACCATTTCGTCTGAAAGCCACCGGGGTGCAGCCCCTGCGGAGCTTCTGCAGTGTGGGGAAAGTTTGATTCAGAAGCTTAAGATCAGAACTTCTGGGGATGGACATGGATGGACTTAGCAGTAAAAAAAAGACCGGCGGGAGGAGTGTTTGTTTCGCTGGCGCGCAAGGTGGTGGGATCTACTGCTCTGAGCTGGCGTATTCCCCGGCGAGCCTCCGACTCCACGACGTCGTTGTGGTGGGCAATGAAGCGCTTGGAAGTGGAGGAGGCCTGTCCCTCGACTGCGCCTCGTTGGAGTTGGCTGGCGGGGCGTTTTTGAACAATACTGTCCCGTCCGGGAAGGGTGGTGCCCTGGAGCTCGGGGGCATGCTGCGGTGCGCTTCAGATCCGCTCTTCCGAGATGTTGCTTTCAAGGGGAATGCGGCGGAAACTGGTGCCGTAGTTTTCTTCAGCACCGCATACCCGTCTTGTGCCGTCCCAGTCTTGGAAGATGATGGTTCGTGGAACTCATCTGTGCTTTCTGCATGGCATTGGACAGATTTCAGTGCTTCCGTGACGGGCAACTCAGCCACGCTCGGCAAGCTTCAGGCCACTGCACCCGTATCCATCGTTTGTCAAGGTCAAGCCTGCCAAGCAGGAAATCTTCTGATGTTGGAGGGCTTTCCTGGTATGAGCTTGTCATTTGGGGCCATGCTCTTGGACAGTTTCCAGCAAATGACGATCGATGACACGCTACAGGTCGAGCTGGTCGTAGTGCCTGGCTCGACTTGTTTACTGGATGGAGTATTGCAGCATCGGATTACTCAAGGCGTGGCATCAATCCAGTCAGTGAAGGTGCTTGCATTGGCTGGGGCGACATGGAGTTCCGTTTGCAAGTTGCTCGTGCGCCTGCCCCTTTCCATCATCACATTGAGGACAGTGGTGCCATTGGAAGTGCACGTGCAGATGGGAGCCTCCGCAGTGACCTGCCCACTTGGATGGATTTCCTTCAGGGCATCAAACATGGCACATTCTGCCTACGAGTGTCGAGCATGCCCAGCTGGTAGTTTCGCTCCTCCTGGTTCCTCCGCTTGCGTGGTTGGGACCTCAAGTTGCCATGCGAACATGTCATGTCCACCTGGGCCGGTAGAATCTTAGAAGCGACCTGAGACTTTGTTTCGGCGGCTGAATAGCGAGGCTTGCCCAGCCGGTCGTTACAACCAGGAAGCGGGCCATGCCGACTGCCTCGTCTGTCCTGCTGGTCACTTGTTCTCTTCATCACCTGCACAGCAGTCATATGAGTCATTTTGAGTTTCTGTTGCAGTGGGCCGTGGGCCTTGTCTGCCGTGTGAGGTTATGGATGCCCCGACGGAACAAGCATACCGGCACCGTGCCCGCGCGGCGCCATGGCTAAGAGATACACCGCGCGCCACACCCCCTAGAGAGTTGAAGAGCGCCGACATTACGGATAGAGCAGGGCATGAACATGGCGGCTTAACTCAACTCAGCTCAGCTGGCAGTCGCCGCCGCCTCGGTCAGGATATCATCAAGACGAGGAAGGAGGCAGCAGTTGCTTACGCTGTCCCCTGGGAACCTACACCAGCGAGTCGCTTGGACGCGACTGGTGGAGTTGAGATCATGAAGAGTGTATATGAAGAGTGTATATGGTATAGTGACGCGGATTGACTTTAAACGAAGCTAGTTGGTGCCAGCGGTTAGAGAGCCCAGGATACCTGCATCAACAGTGAAATATGAGTACAGCGACTAGCGCTACCAAGTTTAACAAAGAATGCAGCCTGGTCTTGCAGCGTAGCAGAAGCAGAGTGGAAGTGCGACTGCCCGACTTTGCATGTTGGTGCTTCGTGCGCCCTGCTTGTTCAGCTGTGCGAAGTTGCGGTCTCTAGATGGCATGAGCTGGTCAGGATTGCCTCTGCGAACTGTACGGAGTGTGATCTTGGAATGGTCACGCTGGAAACTGGCTCAGACTCCCCTTCGTCTTGCATGTGCTCTGCAAATTCGTGACGTGGCGGAAGCATGCAGGTAGCCAACTCCAATCAGGTCAAAGCAGCAGCAGTAGATAGTTAGCTCGTAGCCAGCATCGCCAATCTACATGACTACATCCCCCTTGGGAATCATTTTTGTATTGGTGTGTATGTAAAGCCCAAGAGGATATGAAAATAACTATTTCTATTAAGGTTCTAAGAGGAGTATAGATGAATGCAGGTCTTCTGCCTGAGACCTTAGGTTCATGGTGAGTGGAGCTGGATGCACACCGTGCCCTGTCGGTATGCTACTCGGAGAATCTCTTGAAGGTCGTTGGCTATAGTTCTCCTTGTTCACATTCAAGGATTTACGGCCCAGACATGCACTGCAGTCCCTCCTCAAAAGAAAGAGAGGCCGAGACATAAAGAAGACCTGGTTCAGGGATGATAGGTCCCGCATGCTGCGGGTCTGCAAAAAGTCTCTCTCGTGCATTGTGCGATAAAACTCAGCCCGAGAAAGGCTTTGCGAAGCTGGGCTGGGTCCACCGCTGCAACAGGCCCAGCCACAACAAAGCAAGCCGGACAGGGACGGGTACATGGGGGTTTCCGAAAATAGAGGTACCCTTTATGGGGATCCCTTTAAGTGGATTCTATTCTATTTGGGGCAGAATTGGAAGGGGTACCCCTATTGTGGGAGATACCCATATAGAGAGATGGATTGTGCAAATTCCGCGCAGGCCGGCTACTGGGCCGAGATCCAAGATGCAAGCCGTGGAATCTACTCGGTGCTGCAATGTCGTGGCCCGCCTTTAATTGACTGATTTCCGCTCCTGGTTTGGGATGAAAATGCGGAGTGTGGGGTGCTCCTGAAATTCAGGTTCACACAACATGCAGGTGAAGCCAACGGGTTTGTAATCCCAAGGAAATGCGATGGAATGTCCGCAGGGAGAGGCTGAGCTCTGCGCAGCTGGACGAACCAACTTGGCTTGCAACAACTGTTTGCCAAAGCACTATCCAACAGGCCATGGCGACTGCAAGCCTTGTGAAGACTACGACACTTTGGGGTTTTATGTTGTAGTGGTGCTTCTCTGGTGCGGGGCTGCCATTTTGCTGCGGGTTATGAACACTGACATGAACCAGTCCAGCCTGAGCAAGCTTACGATCCTGGCTGTGGGGAACCAGTTGGTCATGGTCGTTCAGACGTTCTCAACCATTTCCAAGCTGAGTATTGCATGGCCAGAGCCTGTAAAAACCCTCATTCAGTTCGCTGACCTCATTGTGACGCTCAGCCGCTTTGGATCGCTTGGGGTGGTGTGGTGCCTTTCTGGCTGCATTGCGAGGGAAGCCGGTGGAAACATGCTTCATGTGGGCATTGACTGAGGATGATCAACTTGGACATTGTGAAGATCGCGTGTGTCAGCCAGCATGATCACCCAGTGGCGCCTCGGAAGAGTTCTTACTTGAAGAGTTCTTACTTCCAGCATCGGGCAGAGGGTCGGCAGTGGCAAGTCTTTGAGAGTCTTTGATTGTCCAGCCAAGTGCGCCTAGTTTTCCTAGTTTTTGTTGGAGTTTTAAGGTGAGTGGGTCCTGGCTAACGCGTGAGTTATGAGAGGTACAGGTGAGGCCTGGCACCTTCCAGTGCCGCACGACCCGAAGCTCACAAGCCCAAACCCCAAAGCATCCCCGCCCAGATCACACGATTCTCGCACCTCCCTGTTCGTTTGCGCAGACTTTGCAGATGCAGGTAAAACTTCTGGGGCAGCTACTGGCCTTTCCTGCACTGGCTCTTGGACTCGGCTCCGTTTGGTTGCTTCAGAGCTTCGACTGCAAACCATCTCGCCTTGTTCCCGGCTTTCCCCCTTGTGACCGACAAGTTTCCATCCGACCCGAAGTCATGCGACTTGTCTCCCTCCGCCCTTGCGCCGAACCTGGTACCCCGAACTTGTAGGTGTGGCAGGGTGCCGATCTTCCAAGCCCCTCGCTGCCTTGCTGTCTTCGAATTGTCTTGGGGTGTTTCACTCAGGTTGGCTGCATGTTTCGGTTGTATCGGTGAGGTATGATGAAGCGAGTTGTCTCACTGCCGCTTGCAGTGACATAACAGGGACCCCAGATATTTTCATATGACATCATGATGTAGTCTGGGAAAGCCCGTCGACCTTGGAGGAGATACCTGAAGCGGAGTGTGCCGCTGGATCACCTGGTGAATGTCATGCCCCCAGGGCCCAGCTAGAGGAGGACATGTTTTGTCGCGGAAGTTCGAGGAATCAGCTGGGATTCATGCCCTTGGCTGCCGATTAGGCTTGCACATGTATTGCACTTGTGTGTGGGGGGCTGAGCACATCCCAGAAACTCCCTTCAGCTGTTGTCATGTTACCGAGGTTCTGGGCTTCATACTCTTTGCCTTCTTCTTGACTTTGTCGCTCGTGACTTTCTTGACGCCTGCATGCATGGCAGTGTGCAGCAGTTAGATGGAACTTGCTTGGCCTCCCTTTCGAACCTTACGAGTCGCCAATTGACAGCAAATCAAGAGCAACAACATTCCCCGGCATCTGAGGCCCTTCCAATGCATCGCGAACCCCAGTGGGACAAGCTCAATGTCAAACAATCCAGGGGCTACTCGCAGCAGATCTGGGTGTGGCAATGTTCTCCTTTGTGATGGGGCTTTGCTTTTGGCTGCTTGAGGTTCTATGCTACCAGACCTCAGACCACCTGCTGCTGGTCATCATCGCGGGGGTCGGACTCTTTGAATGTTCAATACCCAAAATGTCTGGCATACGAACAAGTGTGCAACTGCAGCAAGTCCGGTGGCCACCTTTTTTCAGACTTTCCGGCTGAAGCTGACACAGACATCATGGTCAGCAGCATCAAAACGCCAAGATGCACAGCGGGTGGAGCCGGCAAAGTTGCTCAACAGCATGCTCGATAGTGTCCACTAAATCAGCTCGTCACAGAGCATGTCAAGGCATTACAGGCGACGAAGCACGGAAGCGTCATAGGCCTCAAGCAGCTGGTTACCCCAGACGACCGCCTTTTCGTAGCACAGCAGGGAATCGCTGTGCAGCTGTGGCTCATGTTGCAATGCTCATGTCTTCAGCTTTCAGCGCGACAGGCGTAGCGATCCAAGAGTGTATTGCTAGCAATGATACCTCAGGAATCTTGATCTACCCCGTGAGCATCATTGCGTGGGCTACATGGACTACGTACCTCTACCCGTCTCGGACTGCTACAGGAAATGGTGCAGGGTTAAATTGAAGGGTGCATGGGCTGCAGTGCTTGGAGAGCACTTAGCACGTACAGTCGCCCGAGAATAATCGTCCCAGCAAGACTGTTGATGCATTCTGGTATGACTTATCCAGGGAAGTGGGACAAAGCGAAACAATGGTGTGAGGGTCGAAATGCGCAGCAGAGCGATGGGCTGGTCTGCAGGAAAGGGCCTTGCGATGCTGTACCGCTACCGCTTTTTCTTTCAACGCTTTACTCCACAGTGCCCCTCGGACCTGCTTGACTCAGCAAGCATCTGTCTTGCAGCTACTGTTGCGTCCTCGATGGCGTTGGAATCATTGGAATCCGTCCAAGGCTACTTTTTTGGACTTTTCATTCTCGTGCGCAATTTCTTCTTGGCACTGTCGCCGATTGTCCTGGAAGCTTGGATGATCGACAATCCACTAAACATGGGGCTGTTATCCTCACTGTAGGTGCACAGCTGCAGGAGCCACTGTCTGGGTGAGCGTGCTCGCATGAATCACATGTGCCTGCAGCTGTCTCAGGTTCCAATCCCAGCCTTGCAAATTGTCACGGTGGCTTGGCCATGAATATTTGGCACTGAAATTGCCGTGACCTCTTATCGACGAAGCATGGAATGCCTTTCTGTTGCAGAGCAGAGGTTGGCACTATGCTGCTGATCAGCATGGCGCTGCAGATACGGCTGTGGCCATGGCGTCTCTCAGTGGCAAGCTAGTTGGAGCTTAGTGTTCTGGCTTTTCTCACCGACGTTTGTTTGTCCACAGCGCCCTCATCCCTGGTCCTGATGCCCTAATATTACACCTGGCCATTTTTTGAAAGTCTGGTACATGGCTGTGGCATGGGACATGGAGACTGGCGAACTTTTGCAGGTTCCCATGTTTCAAATCTCGCCGACCTCATCATGCTGCAGTGGCTTGGAGAGCACACGCCTGGCCATAAAATGAAGTCGGGAGGCAGAACCAGGCATTTTGCGGATCCCAGTCCGGCCCAGAACGCTGCAACGTGCTAGGGGTTGCCCAGAAGTTTCCTGAACATCCAACTTCAAACATGCCGTGAGGTTTGTCATCATCGTGCTGCTTGGTGTGTCCCCCCTTCTGGAAGCCAAGCTCAATCAAGCTGCTGGGGTTGGCGAGCGTTGACCTCGCGCGCCTCGCGCGTGCCAATCCTGCTGAGGACATCGATGAGACGGAAGCTGCGTCTCTTCTTGGGATTTTGTTGTGTCACTGGGAAGCAACACAGCCTTCATTCCGAGGGACAGCGGCTGCAGGTCCCTTCTGCACTTTGATTCGTGTGTTCAGCGGTGTATGTAGAGTTTCGACGAGAGGTTCACTATCCAAGGTATACCTGTTCTGGCTCCACTGGCCATCGTCATCTTCGTGACGTGCTCTGCTCGCAAAAAGTTGTTGGCTTGAGGCCTCGTGATTCCAGGCATTAACTGGGCTAGTTCAGAGTTCAACATTGTCGGCGCTTAAGACTGAGACTGCAACCTGTGTTAGGATTTGGATGGGCTGGCGCTCTATGGAGAAGGCAGCCCGCTATGACGTCTTCATTTGTCATCACAAAGGCCAGAACTGCAATCCAGGGCAGAGAAGCAAGGTGATGGTCGGCTCCTTTACTTTGATTGCTGCTTCACAAGATGGATGGAAGCCCCGATGATGCAAAACGTTGAACTCTTTAAAAAGGGATCCCAAAAAGGGACCCTACTTTAGAGAATTACCCTTATTTACATCACACAGAGGCAGCTTATGGTGTCTTGCCACAACACATGCTGGATCAGGTGGTGCCGGAGCGTTGGCCCGCTACATCAAGATCAAGCCCCTGGTTTGACATCCAAGCAAGTCTAAGCGTCATGGTGTAGGCGTAGCGTTTGCGGTCTGCATTTCGCTGCAAGATGTGTTGGGTGTTGCAAGACCTGTGCCGTTCAGTCCTGAACCTGCAGTCAGTCATAGTTTCTCGAAAACTGTCTGGGCTGCTTCCGGCGGTTCATGTTCTCGAAGCTGTGTTGACGCTTTTGATCGGCAAAGTTCTTTGCATGATGGTGAAGTCCTCGGTGGTGGCTCGAGTTTCATGATTGGATCGGTGCAATCACCTTCAGGCGGAGAAGTGAAAGTTCAAAACAACGGGTGTAAGATAACAGTCCGAAGACGATAATGGCGTTTTTGCGCTCGATGAATTGAAGGCTGCACTCCCGGCCGTGCTTTCGGCGCTCAGATGCGTCAGGATCGAGCCTGGCAAAAGCACGTTTCAGAGCACAAATTGCCAGAAGGAGGTGGAGGAAAGGAGAAACGGAGACGGAGTTCTCGGAATTATGAAGCCCGGGTGTCGTCAGCGTTTGGGAATGAAGGCTGCACCGTCGCCCTGTTTGTGTGCCAGAGATCCCGATCCAAGAGCTTCTGGAAAACCCTTGACATATCGCAGCTGGGATATGCTGCTGAGAAGATGTTGTCATTTCCGTTCGGCATGTTCGTGTGTGCCAAGTGCTGCATTGACTCCAATTTCGTTTGTTTTGACAATTGAAATCTCGGGCTTGGCGGCTTGGCGGAAGAAGTGAAGACAAGCGCATGTGTGCCCGCCTCGCTAGCCATGCGCAGACGTTGCGGCACTTGAGCGAAGCCCAGAGGCAAGCCTTGAAGGAATATCTAAAATTAGCCAAAATTACGTTCATATGCTGGGCCTGGAGATCCAAGGCCCCCCCCCCCTAAACACTGCCCAGCCGGCTTTGGGATTCCGAGGCTCACCATGCACGCGACTTGCAATGTTTTCTTGGATGCCGATTGCCTGGAGAGCCTGGATGGCCGCTTCCCACTGCAAGTTACGCAGACATCCGGCCGTTGGAGCTCCCGCGGTGTGTGGGATTGTGGGATGGTCATCGAATCGAAGAGTTCACACAAGAACCGCGAACACAACAAAGGCCTCTTTGACATCGTGAAGGAGCAGACGAAGAGTTTTGTGGTCATCTTGACTCAGGAGCCTGTGCTGCAAGAACCATTCTCCATTTTCACCTTTGGTTTTGGGCGTGTGATGGCGTGTGTATTACCTCCGTCGCATGATGCTGCAACAGCTGCATTTTCTCCGATACTTGTTAGCTTGGTGTTGGCATCTTGTTAGCGCGTGACCGCGATGTGGCTTTTGTTGGTTTGCTTGGGAAACAGCAGCGGCACTAGCCATATGAGTCAAAATCAAGAACCCGTTCAGGAAGCCTTGTTTTCTCTGGCGGCCGCAGTGGTTGACATAGGTTGAATAGAAGAGCCGCAGCGGTTTGTGTGAGCCAGGTCGATTACTGATACCCCCGCTCGATACCCTCAACAGTGCTCAGCATAGCTTGTCCTCTGTGAGAGCCGAAACCCAAACCCAAAGCAGGTTTCAACAATGGAAACCGTGCAAGATCAAGTTCTTAGCAGGGCGCCTGAGTGCTACAATTTACCGATGCCCTACCGATACCCCCACCGATACCCTACCCGCAACAATTCAGGGGAGTCAGCCACCCACTAGCCCAGGCACACTCACCCGCACACGCGCAACGCACGCACCGCGCACACGCGCACAACATGGGCGTCCCAACCGCACACTAAGTAAGCATAGGCTGACGTTCCGACAAGTCTGAATCTAAGCTCAAGGAACTGCTGACGAGAATGTGGTGTGCTGGGGAGATCGCAACTGCACATAAGACTCTCAGCTGAAAGATGACTGCGGACAGTCAGTGTAAGCACTTTCATGGAGGGGCCCAAGTGCAATTCTTGCTATCTTTGGCCCTCAGGAATACGATTCACACCGTGCCTGCCTCTTGGTTGCATGTGACTACTTCTTCAAAAGTCTGGTTAAGGGATGAGAGCCTGTCAGGTGGACTTGACGTTTGGGATGGCCTTCAGGTGTAACGACCTTTAAGGGCCTGTAGTACAAACGGTCTGCTGCAAGGTGGCAGCACAGCAACTGAGGTCAGGTGCGATGGTTTTGTTGGCTACATGGAACACCAAATTGAGATGCTGCCGAAGCTTTGGTCTGCTGACCAATTGCATGCGCTTGGCCGTGACTGGGCCGATTCGGCAATATGTTCCATGTCTTCTCGAACAGGGCCACCTGTCACACAGAGTTTCTTTGTAGGCCACGGAATCAGCCCATCGGACGTCGTGGAAGCCTACAAAGTTCTCCTGGCTCTGCACAGTGTGGCGATGCCCCGCTTTGGCAGCGATGATCAGAAGCATGAATCTTGGCAATGATTTGTGAGGCCCCCAGGATCATCTCCAAGTGTACACAAGGAGCCATTTGAAAGACCAACCTTCCCCAGCAGCTGTTGGACTCAACAGGCTGCGTCTGCCCGTTCAGGCCCAAACAAATATGATGCAGGTTCTTCGATTTTTCGTGGTCCCAAAAAGTGCCCCCGAAGCCCCTCATTGCTCGCCTGATGCCAAGAAGGCCCACTGTCTGGTTTCTCTTGCAGCCCTCAAGTAGCCTTAGCCAATGCTCGCTGACTCGCCAAGGCTTGCATCGAGAACATCGCCATGAGATGTGGGCTTTCGCGAAAGGCGTTCGGCGAAGAGACTCAGACCGGCATCACCACCAGGGCAGCTCGGCTTATTCTTAGTTCCTTCCGGTAGTGTAGAGTGGAATCATCCTCCAGCGCTGATATTTTCCGGCTGGCCACTGGACGCCTTCGTGGATTGTTGTCAAATCCCTTCCTTCTCTATTTCGAAGTTGTTGGTAAACGTCTACCGGAGCAACAGGTGCATGCTGCACGAGTTGCATCTGGATTGGCCTTTCGCAAGAGTTCAAGGGAACTCGAAAGGTGACATGTTTAGAACATGACCCTGGCACCGTCTCTTGCAAAGCTGCAGCCCAGGCTCGCATCTTGGTGACTGGAGCTGTGACTGACGCAGAAGCCCTGAGCGTCATCGAAATATGCCAACACATGGTGCAGATGCGCTTGCAAGTGAGCTGTGCCATCGTCCGGACAGAGCTCCAGGTCACATTGCCGCACAGAAGTTCTGGTCCTAGAGTTCGGACAAGTTCGGTACTGTAAAGCTCTTTGTTTTTTCTGTAGCTGACAATTCAGCTACAGGGAGCTGTGTCATAGTGCGCACGCAGACTGGAAGCTTCCGGAGCGGTGGCAACGGCACATTCAAGGTTCGCAAGATGATGTCCTATGCATCCTATGTCGTGGTACTACTTTCGCGGGGGATGCTCCGTGATCCGTCTTTCGCGCGCCTTGTGCTAGCTGTCGCTACACCACAGCAAAGCGCTGTTGGAATGGCTTCGAGGACGGCGTCGTTGAAAGCCCAATCCAATCCCGCAAGAATCATGCTGTCATGAATGCCCATGCAATGGTACCCCGAACCTAAACATTCACCTTCTCGCACCAAAGCGCAGGACTTCCTCGATCAACTCCAGGCAAAGCCTGGAACTGGTCACCGTCAACGCCGACCCGAACTTCGAATTTCCTGGCTGCTGTGCTGAAGATCTGAAGGACAATGCTCTAAGTTCAATCATCTTAAGCAGAATTAGGTGGCTTGCAGAGCCGAAAGGCTATACGTACTTGACAGACCTTGACGCATGTCGCTGCTCGCAGAAGCCAGAAGCCCGAACGAAGGCGCCTAGCTTTTGATGTTCTGATCTGCCCTGCAAAGGCTTCGCATGAACTCTCCAAGCTAAGGGTCTGACTTCTATGACGAGGTGCGGAATAACGGACTTGGCCTTGGGCATCAGGCAGGGCGCATTGTGGGGCATTGCAGTGGCATGGGCTTTGTCATGAACGTTAATGCCCAGGTAGGACTGCGCCTTGAACAAGCCTACCGCCACACGGCAAGCAACAGAGTGTAGTGGGATAACGTGGTGGTCGGCATGTGCGCTTCGTGCGCTTCTGGAATCACTGAAGCCAAGGCTCTATGCTGCAGCTCTTGGCGCTGCCCATCTCACCACACGGGTCGTCTTCACTGATGGAAAAGCAGATCGAGGAGATCTGCAAGAGGCGCATCAGAAAGGGCAGACTGCGGTGTTGCAGTCACTTCACAATCCTGTCATCCACCATGTCCTGCGATTCTTCAGGTTCAGGAAATACGAGAACAGTGCGGAGGGATTGGCCTTGGACTTGCAGCAAGACGAGTCCGTCGACCCTTTGCTAAGGGCTTTCTCACACTGCTGTCATACTTTCAGATGAATCCCAGCGAAGATAAGGAGAACGCTTCAGCTTCAAGCATCATGTGCAGCAACACCTTCTCTAGCAGCTGCAACAGAGTATAACACAAACACCAAGACAAAAGCGGCGTGGGAGGCATGATGGAGGTGTTGACTTGGCATCGAGTCTTTGGTGTTGGGCTTGTTGGGTTAAATTCAGCGTCGTGCGCATTGCAAATCGCGAGAAGCATCAAGAAGCAGCAGTCAGCAAATGCTTGCTCGGAAGTATGGTCGGAAGGCATTGCACCAAGGATCCAAGCAACTTTTATTCGACTGATACACCGAGCTCTGCCTCTGCAAGCCCCTCGTTTCCCACAAACCTCGCCGAAGGCCTCCTGCTGTCATCTGAGTTTGGCGGGTGCCGTCTGGCTGATTTGCCATGCAGTCGAGTTGCAGAAGGGTTTCGGCTGGCATTTAAGTTGTTCAGCCCCCACGGGATGGTTTAGGACATTCTGGAGGTTGTCTGGTGCTGGATTTGGTAAGCGTCTCGGCACCGGCAGGCCTCGCAAGCCCCAGCCCAAGTGGATTAAGCCGCCTGGCTGGACAAGTCAGGCGATCTTGGTCTCTGTCGCACATCTTCGGCCATGTACTTTCACCAGCATCGTCGCCGCCATTGATCGCAAGAATTGCTAGTTTGCTTGGTGCCAGCACAGAATTCCAGGTCTGTCCAGTCACAGCCATGACAATCTGCCTCCAGTGACCCCGATGGAGTCCGTCCTGGAGGAGATAGCGACAACCCGCGCCTGGTTTGCCAAAGGCCTTGCATGGCTGTAGTGGATGTTGCGCACTGCTGCGTCGCAGAGAGTGCAGGTGTTGCTGGATCATCCCAGATGGGTTGTGATGTTTTCGTATGTTCCAAGAGACAACGAAAACGATCCCACCCCGGGTAACTTGTGACGTTGGCATGCATTGGTATACGTTCCACGGGACGACAAGGGTAGCCACCCCACGAAAACGAAACCACCCCAACCGACGGGTTTTACGACGTTTGTGCACGTTCCAAGAAACGATTCGCGACGGCTTCGCACATTCCTCCCCACGTAGTTTCTCACGTTTTGTACGTTCCACGATTCGAACAAGAAACCGCCCCAGGTGATTTGCGACAGTTCTGAGAATCGCATGTCTCCACGACCGCAGAGAACGAATTAAATAGGGCAACCAAGGTCCCTTCAAAAAGAGAGCAGGAACGGAGCGAAAGCGAAATGGCCACTAATAGAGTGCGAACCCGAGATCAGCCAAGGGACAGAGTCAGTGCCCCTCAAGGCAGGAAATGGAGAGAACATTGGTCAACAGCACGCAAAGCCATGAAAAGAGACCAGGAGCGGAGCGAAGAGACAGGCTCATCAAGAAAGGAGTAAGTTTGCTTAAAAGGCGGCAGAATGCAGGACCAACCGTGTCTCAAAAAGCCAGCACACAGCAACCGACCCAAGGCCCCCTGTCCGTGACAATGATCACAACCCATCACGAGCGGTCTCAGCACAGAGCCAGCGTCGAAGTAGGAACAAGACCAAAAGGGACGGAGGCAGGTATAGCACAGTCGTTCTGGGTCAGAAGCCATACTATTCGGGCAAGGAGCCGCGAGGTCACTTGGCTTCCCACAAGATACTCCGGCGTAGTTTCTCGTGTTAGACCGGAAGGTGATTTTGCTCTTTGCTGGTAAAGAGATTGCATGGAGTTTTTGCTGCCAAGGCAGCGCAGATTTTATTGTTGCGCGGTTTGCGCAGACGCAGTCTGAGATGTCTGAGCCAGAGGTTGATGAGGAGACCATAGAGATGCCTGTTTGAGACTCGCGCGATGTTTCTGATGTGTCCTTTTTCGGTCTATCGAAGTTCGGACAGAAGCGGCTGGGGGCATGTCAGGCCGAAGGCCGACGCCCCTCACGCTGTTTTTAACAAACGGCGCTTGCCCAGCGACACTTCCGCCAGTCAAACAAAGGTCCAGGAAGGACGAGGCAGGCTTGAGGAGGTTGTTTTGGGAGGGCTCCTTCGTGCCGTATGACACCACACAGGGTTAACACATTCAGCAGGTTGAAGTGAGGCTTAGGTTTCCAGACTCCAAGCCCATCCTCTCACTCCTTTCTGGACCTCGAAGAATGTCGTTGTGCTTTTCCGTCGTGCAGTGGGCAAAGTCGCACGATGCCCCTATGCCCCAGGCATCAAGCACAAATGAGCAATGCAATACTGTAGGTATGCAATGCTGCGGGTGCCCGCAGCTGGGAGATGCGATTTTCGTCCTGCTGCGCGGGCCGCAATTGCCACTAATGCTTGAGTCGAGGGTGACTCTGAGGTTTTATTAGATGGAGAAGATCTGGACAACCCAGCTCACTTCTCCACACAGGACCAGGCCGTGTGAGGGCAGAAGGTGTGATTCCTAGCATGTACTGCATCGACTAGGAAAGGTCTACAAATGAGGGACTTCGGGTTAACATGACTCAAGAGTTGAGAGTGGGACTTTAGCAAACCCCCCCCCAACTAACAAAAACTGGAGAGCTTTTGCACATGTCAGTTTACTAGTCTGATGTCTGGTGTGGTCCTCTTGCAATCGATACGGCCTGCCGTCTTGTCATTTCGTGCCATTGGCACAACAAAGGCCAGGAAAAGGTGCTGGGCGTTGCTTGGGGACTTGGGGATGCTTCGCAGAAGTCTTGCCTTGGCAGATGGAAGTACAAGCTAGCCAATCAGCATTGGCCATGACCAAGGAAGTGCGATACGAGGTATCACATGTTTTCGCAACATCTTGCAAGAGAACGTCTGAGATACCTTTAAAAAGTTCACATGCCGGCCGCTCTTAAGTGCAACTCTTACATGCAAAATGAAGAGGGCGGCAATTCCTGCCACAGCTTCATCAAGCGACGCGTGCAGGCTGTGCGCGATCAACTCGCAGCACTTGAACAGCGAGTTCTTGAGGTTCAGCACCAGCTCGTGCCCTTGAATCCAAGCTGAAGTGGGGCTGAAGACAAGAGGGGCGGGCTAATCATGCTAATTATGCGGCATATGCCAGGAAACAAGATGCAAGAACAAACGTCGATGTAGTAGCACCAGGCGCCTGTCGAGATATTTTGCAAGTCAAAGCAGCTTAAGTTGAAAATGACATGTTGAACAGTTGAACAGCTGAGTTAAGTTTAGCTCCGCAGTTGGGGTCTTGCACCCGTAACAGTCACAAAACAAGTAGCAACCACGCCAGCCGTGGAACTTGGGCGATGCCCCACAAGAGACTCAAAAGTGCCGGATCATGGTAATGCTGTTGGCAGATCAGGAGACCTTTGAGCGGGAGTCCTCTTGACCAGCCTGGCTGCGTCAATGCAGAGGACCGAAATGTCCCGGCGCTGGTTTCTTCGGTCTCGTCATCCTTTCAAAGCCTTTAAAACTTTAAAAGCCGGGTCGGGCATGCCCTCTGTGAGCCAGGAAGTGCTATTCCCCATCCAAGTGGCAGCGGATAGCGCCTCTTCGGGAGCTTTGTTTGTGCATGTTTGTGCCTGGAACGCTTTGAGCTTTGGATGCACGCGCCACAAGATGCTCAGAACGCACACAGGGGACGGGCGGGTGCATGAAATGATCTAGACAGCCAAGAGGCCCATCAACAGTGCAGATGAAGCTGGCTAGCATGTCTGGCATGGACGGGCTGTCTCACAGCAGCAGGGAAGCGATGCCCACAACAATGCCTTATGACACCAAAGAACAGCTGCCACTGATGGAGTTGTCAAGTTGTCGCCAGTCTTTCAATCACACAGCTGCGCCGACCCGTGCGCTTTCGACAGCCAAAGCTGCGAAGAGACTCAGGTCCTCAACACGTAATTGCCGGCAGCAGTTGCGAGCTCAGCTTGCGCAGTGCGACGTTTGAGAGTTATCTTGCAGCGTGCACTGTCAGTGAATGTGGATGAAGTGCTGATCCTGTGTGAGTGAATTTTGATGGGGTAACAGTTGCGAGGTGTGGTGATGGTGCCTTTGGTTCAAAGCACCTTTTCCCGCCACAGGTTTACGACAAAATGCTTATGTCCCTGCCGAGATCATGGCAAAGCAGAGTCTTGGCAAATCCATGTTTCCGACCCAATCGGCCCGCACAGTCAATCTTGTAGTTGCAACATCACGCAAGGCTGACATAGGCTCATCGTCCCGACAGCATCACTGCATTGTTTATATTGCATTTTTCGTTGTTGTTCTTCTTCCCTCTCTCCCCCTCGCGCTCCGCTCTCTCTCGCTCGCTCGTTGCTCGGCCCTTCTGCACTTTGCTGCACCACTGCAGGCACAGTGGTTAAAATATCCCTCCTACTTTATAATGTATTGGAGGGGGGTGGGTGGTTGGGGGGTCCGATGCATTACTGCCTGGGTTTCCCAGGAATAGCGAGACAGGAAATGTATTGGCTGACCCTCCCCAAACTCGAAACCCTAAACCCGAAACCCTAGGCCCGAAACCCAAAACTCTAAACCCTAAACCGTAAACCCAAAACCCTAAACGCAAAACGCTAAAGCCTAAACGCTAAAGCATGCTAAAGCCTAAACGCTAAAGGCTAAACGCTAAACGCTAAACGCTAAACGCTAAACGCTAAACGCTAAACGCTAAACGCTTCAACCCTAAACTCCCTAAACCCTAAACCCTACCAACAAAAATGCATGAGCTGTGCAAGCATAGCGCAAGGATGCCTCATCTGCATGTTTTAGCAGAGGGGGTTCCAATACATTAAAACCTTAATGTGTTCGATGGGGGCTACACCACTGCTGGGAGGGAACATCCTACTTTATAATGTATTGGAGGGGGGGGGTGGGGTGGTTGGGGGTCCGATGCATTACTGCCTGGGTTTCCTAGGAATAGCGAGACAGGAAATGTATTGGCTGACCCTCCCCAAACTCGAAACCCTAAACCCTAAACCCTAGGCCCGAAACCCGAAACTCTAAACCCTAAACCGTAAACCCTAAACCCTAAACGCTAAGCGCTAAAGCCTAAACTCCCTAAACTCCCTAAACTCCCTAAACTCCCTAAACTCCCTAAACTCCCTAAACTCCCTAAACTCCCTAAACTCCCTAAACTCCCTAAACTCCCTAAACTCCCTAAACTCCCTAAATTCCCTAAACTCCCTAAACTCCCTGAACTCCCTAAACTCCCTAAACCCTACCAACCAAAAAATGTGTGAGCTGTGCAAGCATAGCACAATGATGCCTCATCTGCATGTTTTAGCATGGCTGCCAATCCCTCCTGCAGATTTGACCACCCTCCCAGCGGGGGGTTCCAATACATTAAAACCTTTGCGTAATGTATTCGATAGGGGGGGGGGATGCGTAGACCACTACTGGGAGGGATGTTAAAATCAGCACAGGGGGGCAGGTTGTGGCTAGCACAAGGACAGATGCATCACTCACACGTTCGCGTTGTCCTGGTGGACCCCCGGGTGCAGGTGACAGGGCTAGCTGAAAGACATGAAAGACAATCGTACACACTCGCGTATATCAGGGAGGAGATATCACAAATGAGGGGCGAAGTTTTGCCTGCGTCTTGGAATCAAGTCAACACACGACAAATACGTGTGGCCTAAGCTCCCCCGCATCATTTTGCAACCACGCCACAATATTCCACACGTTATTGAAGATCCCTACAGCGCTGTAGGGTCCTTGCAAGCTAAACTCGTCGGCTTGCTGTCTCGAGCTCAGGAGCGCGTGTAAAGGCGAGACGAGCGAGGCCGTGACACTTGAGCTTGTTGCTTCACCTAGCAGCTAGCAGTACTCACACTTCAACATGCTGAAGGCCTTGCACATGCCTGGATAAGTTGCAGGGGAGTCTGCCACGAGAAGGGCCCACGCTGAGGGTGTCGTTCTGCAAGACGGCAACGACCCTTCGAGGCAATTGATAAGGGCACAGCGGACCCTCAGAGCGGACCAAGAAGATTATGCTAGTTGGAGTAAAGGTGCAACGGTGCAACGGTTGCTCTTTGTCCAGGAGTACGAGTCACGCATCCTCTAGTTCTAGCTGTGGGTTCACTGCCAGTCACGGCGGCTCAGAGTGCCTCAAGAAGTAATCGTTCCGCACCGATTTTCCTGGAGTCACAGACCGAGGAGTGTAAGCACGAAGAGGGGCTCCTTGGCATGGTGTCTGGTGTTTTCCATTGTTTACATCATGTGCTTCAGCTAGGAGCTACCATCTCCGGCGGTTTCTTTTATGTCATGTCTCACTTGTCTGCACAAGACGCCATGTCGGGTTTGGAGGAATCCACCTTCCCTATTCGTTCAATCCACTCATGGGTTCAAGTATCCTACAACTGGCGCAGTGAGGTTCTGGAACTCCGATCAAGCTTGCAAAGTCGGTGACGACGATTCAGGTGGATGCTCCTTGGCTGCAATTTCGAGTCGTTACACGCGTCGTGCGCACATGCACGTGCATAATCAGCTTTGTCATATGGTTCAGACGCTTGTTCAAGAGAGACGAGTTCTTGAACCATCGCGTGTCGCAATCGGAACTTGCGGAAAGCGAGCCAGCATATTACAAGATGTGCGTGACCAAATGAAAACATCAAAAAGGATGATATCAGTCGGAAAGAACACGGCAACACCAATCACCAAGGTCAAGATATAGTAGCTCAAGTGCATACATATGTGTATATATATATATATGAGCAAGGGTCAAAACTTGCTTGCATGGGCTCCGTGCAGAAATCGAGTGACGGCGCAAAATTGTGCGCTGAAGTGAGTCGGCGGCAGAAGCACAGAAACAACAAAACGAAAAGACAGCTTGAGGGCTCGCCAGCTTGTCTCGGATGGTGTACGAGCAGCTTGCAAGAATACTACGCAACATGCGCAGCAAGCTCGCAGCATGGTAATTGTTGCCCCGGCTTTCAGAGATGAATCTCCTGAAGATGTACTGCGCTCGTTCTTGCCTCTCGATGTCGACGGCTCTCGTGTCAGGAGATGGCACTGCCGTGGCACAGACGCACCCCGACACAACGAAGCAAGTGGCCGAGAAGTGAGTAAATTCGTTTCTGGCTGTGCTCCTAGACTCTGGCTACAACCTCACGCTGATCTGAATACATATATATAATATATATGTATAAATCAAGAGATGAGAAAAATGAATAAACAAATAAGTTAAAAAACTATATATATATATATACATATCATCGTGCTGCCCAAGGCATCTGTCACCTCTTAGTGCGCAATGCGCGCTTTGAGCTGCTGGTCATGGCCACGTTGCTGGCATCTTCAGCAACCCTGGGTGTGGAAACGCACATGGCAATGCAGGACATTCACTCAGCAGCTGGGATTCCTTTAGTTGTGGCTCAAGTTACAGACAACTTCTTTTTGCTGCAGAGGTCAGACGTCAGACGTCAGACGTCCGCAAACTGTGCTTTCGTGTGATCTGGCCCCTTGCGAATCCTTGCAAGCTCTGAAAATGTTGGTGGTGAGTTCGTGTTTCCTCAACAGGCTTACAACATTGTATTATTTCCCAGCTTGCGGCTAGCCAGCTGGCGCAGACAGCTAGCAGCCGATGGAAAGGTGTTTCAGTTTTAAGCTATACTACCCAAGCTTCTCCTTTCAACGCTGGAGTTTCGCAGTTGAGTTTGCTGCAACTTTTGCCAAGGAGCCGCACGCCTCACAGTTGCACAGAAGACTTGTTTCGGACTCCAGTCTGTACAAGCAAGCCCATCAAGCCGAGCACGAAGCAGCATGTTCTTGCCCGAGCACTACCTAGGTCTTGTTCCGCATCTTTGACGTCACATGGTGCGTGGCTTTCCTGTTGGAGCTCTTCGTCCGTGTACTTGCTGACGGCGTGATGTTCTTCAGCACGAGCAACCCGGAGCGGCTGGTCTCAGCGACTGTTTCGTCACGCATCCAGTAGAGTGTTTGTGTTTGGCGCAGCTTTCGGCATTGCCAAGTAGACGTTTGTGCCTGGATGTGGTCGCGTACTTACCGCAGAAGAAGTCAAGCAGGTGGGGCTGGAACTGGACAGATACCTTCTTTGTCGCACCTCAGCTGGATTTCTTCAGTGCACTTTCGTCTTGGTTTAGGCAGTTGCCACATGCTGCCATGTCTGTACTTGTTTGTCCTGCGGATCCTTTGTCGCTCATTGCCAAGGCAATCTCAACTGCGGATGAAGCGATTGTGCTTCTAGGTGCCAGGGCGTCAGCAGCATTAGCCCAGAAACAACCGTCTTGTGACGGGCCAGTAGGCATGATATGAGACGCGTCAAAGCATTGGCACACGTTGATCCATGTTGACTACGTACTTCTGAGTCTGGAGAGTGCAATCAATCCGTTGTCGTTGTTCTTTGTAGGTTCTTGCTGTGTGCACAGGTTTCGCCATCGAGCTTTCTCAATTCCGACTCCTGCGAATGATCCGCCTGGTTCGAGTCCTGAGATTGCTGTGCCTTATCTTTTAGCTATTCATACAGCGTTACAGCACAGGGGGGTCCATGTCATGTCAGCAGAAGATGTTCGTCACAAAGGGAGGTTGCAAATCGTGTCGCCGCATGCTTAGACGGTTCCCACTGTGGCTCAGAATCCAGTTGTAGGGTTCTGAGTTGTTGATCGCAGTCTGTCTCAAGAGTGACGAAACGGTGTTTCACAGTCACTGGCTCTCGATTCGCCCAGACGAGTGGTTCGTTTCTGCAGCGACCTGCGCATGATGGTCAACGGGATTGCAGGGCAGCTCGTCCGCAGAGACTACCCCAGTTTGGCCCACTAGTCGCTGACATGCTAACAGCGCCAAGGTCTGTGCGAGTCCTTTTCTGGGCCCTGATACTTCTGGCGATAGTCATGCTCCTGGCCATGCATCCAGCTGATTTGTCAACGTTCCAGTGCACTGAATCACCTGCGATATCCAGTGGTGCCTTCTTTTGTTTCCGGGCAAGGGGGGGAAGTTAGATGGTACTCGTAGAAGCTGAACAGCTTGGGGCTTGAAAGCGTCAGTGCGTTGGTGCGATGAACACGTCGAGGTTGGTTTGTGTAAGTAAGGTTCAGGGGACAGTTTGTCAGCAATCTTGCAACAGAGCTTCTGGTCGGAGTCTTGCTTGTGGCCCATGGTGAAATTGGTGTGCATGTTTTGAAAGTTGTAAGGTGCAAGTGAAGTGATGTGCTTGTGAGTAGCTGTTGCTATAGTGAATGAGAGTTGCTTGAGGCGACGCTTTGATGGATTAACATGTCAGCAAGTGCTTGCTGTGCAGGTTTCTCCGATGCACCGGAAGCTTTGTAGTGGTAGCGCATTCATGAACTCCTGGAAGTTTTGGGGCGAAGTTTCCCGGCGAAGTTTGCGGAGAAGCCTGTGGCGTAGTTTGTTGGCGAAGCTGCGGCGAAGTTTGCGGTGAAGACATGTGGTGAAGAACACGGCGAAGTTTCTGAGAAACTGTGTAAGGTAAATGCCCCTTTAGAAGCTTTAGAAAACTCCACAGAAATTCCACACCGTTCACCAATGGAAGTAAATCAGATTCACGCATGACGGACCTGTAGGGCATATCCCGGCCGTTGTTGGGCTGAGCCCTGGCCGGCGCCAGGGATGCGAGAAGGGTTGCCCGTTCAGGGATTCAGGGAGGGCTGCAGATGGTAGAAACTATCTTTAGAAACTATCTTTTGGGCTTTACGATGGGGTGTGAAGCTGTCTGCTTTTTGTTCCCGGGTTTGCCCCCAAAAGCAGTGTCCGCAGGCTGATTGACCATGATTAACCGTGTGCCGAAATCCATCTTTGAACCACGCCCAAAACTTCACTGCTCGCTTCTGGGTTGCCTCTTGACACAATCTTGACCCTTTCTGATTCGAGGTTCATTTTCGGCGTGACCCTCATGCAACTGGCATACGCCCATCTCAAGACAGATGAGGGTGGAGCGGATGATGTGATCAAGTTCTACGGCACATTGGGCAGTGACTTGGCGACACAGCCTAATGTGCGCCTACAAACTGCCGATGGGCAGATACTCGTAATGATAGTTTTGAGATACACTTGCGATCATTTGTCTCCTACATGCTGCTACGGCATGCCACATGACTCCTGCCCCTGATCATGCCTTTGAGGGGAGATCCCGAGATCCTGTGATCCCCCCACACAACATCAGAGAATGTTTTTACGTGAGTTGTATGACAGTTGAAGAGTCAAAGTTCCAGCAGCCGCACAGTTCTTCTCGTCGAGCGGTCTTGCTCTGGCAGGAAGCATGCTGACACTGTTCATGGCCATCTCAGGAGGCTGGTTTTGCACAAGCTTGCACTAGCTTACGATCTCTTGCGCCATCCTGCTTTTGACACAGGGTTGGGCAGGATCCAGGGGATTGCGCCCCAAACTTGAAACAAGAGATCTGACCCACCAGGTGGTTGTTTTGAAGCAGGTATCGACTGGAAGGATGCTGTTTCTCCACTTGGGCCGATGAGTTGGCTCATCGAAACTTGCCCAGGTTAGAGGGCACTTCAGGTGTGGGATTCTGGAGCACTGGTGACTGAGAGGCTGCTGGGTCTGCTGCAGGATCGATCGGCAGAGTAGAGCGCAGTACCAGTGTAGGTCATCGGTTGGAGACCCACTGAATGGCCATTTCGTTCCACCGAGAGGGGCGAGCGACGGGCTTGATGTTTCACACTATTCACTATTGCCTCCCAAGGACTACTTCATGGGCGTCTACGCTCCTGTGCAGCAAAGTGGTGACAGCAGCAAGTCATATTTATATTTGTAACTATCAGGAATCGTACAGCCAAAATGCTTGCTGCTTGCTTTTGAAAGAGCAGCCGCGCAGACACGTAAGTTTCGACGTTGACGTCAGAGCTACTTGCCAAGCTTTTGCCGGCTTGAAAGGCTGCGTACGCGCTGAGGTGTTCTTTACCTTGTTCTGCTTCATCAATGTGCCTCGGGTCTTATTATATCATTGTATGTTTGTGAGCAAGACTCTTGGGACTGTCGACTCGAAGCGCAATATTGAGAACACCACTGGGTGCATTGGCATCATCAGCTGAGGTAATAACAGGAATTTTTGTGGACAATGCGAAGGCCCATGTTTTCGGAGACAGCATGCGGATGCGGGAGGGTCTGTCTGTTTGGGCGGTTTTTGTTTCGATTCTTGGCTGGGGGAGTGGGGGGGAAGGCGGATGGTCGGATGGGGAGGGCGGGGGGCAACCGAAGATCTCGATATACGCAATTTTCAACATAGTGCACACGTGCTGTGTTGCAGGCACTGGGCGAAACAGAACAAATGCATCAGCGCTCGGCGCTGAGTCTCGGCTACAGTATGGCGTTGAGCACTGATCGATACTGATCGTGTCACGCCTGAAGAACTGCTTTGGACATTTTTGGCCTTTGAGCTATTGTTGCCTTGCGTAGTTGCCAAAGCAAGCGTACGTCGACTGCGCTCTTGCATGCAAAAATGGACGTTTGCGCAGCCAGACGAGTCGTTGGTAGCAGACTCCAGAGACACAAAACTTGTTTTAACATGGGGCCACTTGACCACGTGAGACTGCATTCTGCTGAGTTTACTGTGGGTACTTAGGAGTCTCAAGCGCAAGATGTGGGTCAAAAAAGTGCTGGCTCTATTCTCTCAGCTAGACTCCGGCACCTTGGTCTGCAGGACATGACACGACATTGGGGCTTGGGCTTGGGTTTGCACTGGCAATCATCGAATTGCTAAACGGCACAGCCACGCTAGACAACCTCAGCTGAACCATAGCCACGCTGAACCGCTAGCCAGCACATTGCCACTTCAGTTGTTCTGCGGAAGTTCGCCGCTGCACATGATTTGCTCAGCTGCGGTGGTGAAAGGGGGGAGGAGGGTGGCCATTGGCTGTCGGCAATGGCTTTGCTCGGCCTTGGCATGTCACCTTGAGCAAGCCCAAACCATCATGAGCCTTGAACCTTGAGCCCTGTGCCTCAAGCCTTTTTTTACCCTGCAGTGCGTCGTGAGTGTCAGCTAGGCAAGTACTACCCGCAAAGTAAGCTGCATGCCTTGGAACCCCTGAAAGCCAAAACCTAAATCTCATAACTCTGCCCTAGAACGCTTTAACGCCTAAACTTACCATTGGAAGCACAAACACCACAGACCTTGAAGGACTTCGGATCAGTGTTTTCAAGACTCCTAGGCCTGCGAGAGGCTCACAATCACCAGGTTCAGGTACACGGTGACATGGGTAGCTGCATATCGGGGGCCTCATACTTCCTCAGACCTGCAATTCGAGGCCAAGAGGGAGATCTCTCTTATGAGGAGTTCGCTGCGGAGATACAGGCGTGCTCATGCTACATTACCCCACTGATGCAACCCTCACGGACTGCATGTAGCCTATCGCACACAGTAGACCAAGAGCAAGTGGGGCAAGCGGGGCCAGTGGCAGAAAACAGTTAGCGGTGCAGGCGTGCCTGAAGCCCGGAGCTCCCAGTTCCTTCAACCCCATTCCTTCAACCCTAAACCCTCAACCCTGAACCCATAGTCTGAAGCCCGAAGCTGCCCACGTGCCAGGATGAACGGGTTCAGGACTGCTTCCGGCATCTGGGGATCAACGTGGAGAGCCTTGCTTGAACTTGGAGAAGGTATGCAGCATTCAGCCTCGGCCTAGTTACTCGTTTGCGCGAAGCCCATGTTTGGAGATGTTGAATGACGTGCCACGCTGTGGCCAGCAGTTGGCTGAGGAACCACACCGTGGATGAGCTTTTTGACCTTTTCGATCGGGATGCTGATGGAAAAATCGATCAATCATCGTTTGAGCAGGCGATCCGACAATTTCATGGTCATGCGAGAAGTGCCTTGGCGACGGCTTCAGCTCCTTCAGCTCCGGGACAAAGGTGTAGAGACATCCTTGCGCAGGGCGATGTGCATGTGCATCTCTGGTCGGTTGGCAGCAGGGCCAAGACTGGCCAAGACCTACTCAAAGAGGTAGCAGCGCACAAGCGGCGCAGGCCTGCGCAAGCCTGCGCAAGCCTGCGCAAGCCTGCGCAGCCCTGCAGCCTTCCCGAGGCATCGACGTTTACAAGCTTCGGCGAGAGACGCAAAAGCCCCCTGGCAGTTGACATAGCCATCCTACTTATCTGCAACGTCGTTCGGGCAAGGCTGTGAGATTTCTGTGGTGGGAGCACCGAGGATCGCCAAGCAGGTTCGATCCCTGCACAAAGCCCCATGGCATCATTTTAACTAAACTATCCGTACGTCCAGCGCAAGCACGTTTCTGTTTTGGTTTGCTGGTGCTGACAGCATTGCTCGTTCATGCCGCTGCGAGCGTGTTGTGTGAAGGCACTGGACCCGAACAGGCGCGTTGAGTCATAACGTGTCACCGAGCCCCTCAATAAGGGTGGCTCGTGTGGTTGAAGTGCTTGACGGCCGCAAAGAGCTCAAAGACATGAAGGGTAAATTCATGTAAATTCTCAGCAACTGCATATCTCCATCAAGTCATGAATCCCGTGCTTGCAGCAAGAAAGCTGCATTTCTCCTGGCCGGTGTTGCGTGACATTCGCATCACGTATAGTAGCCCTGCATTCCTGGAGCCTGGCAGAAGCACAGCGTCCGGGTGACTCTTGCCGAGCCGATTCTTAGTATTTATTGGGCATGTGTCTAGACTAGGTTCCCTCCGCAAAGCGTTCGTGGAGCTTGACATTTTGAGACACCCTTTCCAAAGGAAGGGGAGTCCAACAGTGGTACTGGAGCAATGCCCGAAACCAGTTGATGGAAACCAACTTGCGCTGCTTTGTACCGACTAGACTGCTATGGCTGCAGTGCTCCAAGGTTCCACAGTGCTAGCCATTCGTCGAAAGAATCCAAATGCACTCCATGAATGACTAAATGATCTGTGCATCGGTGGGTGGGTGAGCAGCTGCGGTGTGGACGTGGGCGCGCGTCGAGGGCAGGCGTGGAGAGAGAGAGAGAGAGAGAGAAATTGTGTGACAGTGTAAGTGTGAGCGTGTGTGTGCGTGCGCACGCGTGTGTGCGCGCACCAGTGGGTGGGTCGCCTCTCGAAGCCACCAAAAAAAATTTAACGTGAGTCGAGAGCTGAGTGCACGGGCATACCTGCAATGTTTCGCCCGAAACATGCCGCATCACGCGCTGTTGTGGTGTTGCTCAACCTGCCGACGAAATTTGCCACCCCTGTCTGCCAGCGAGCGGAGAGGAGTGCGCCGCGAAGCGCTTGACCATTGAGCGTATCAATGAGGATGAGGTGCGAACCTGCAAACACAGCTGTGACCCTAAGCGAAGTGAGGAATATGCGCTTGAACTACAGAGAGAAGTTGACTCCATGCTTGTTGAGCGTTGAGCAGCCCTCTCTTGCAAATGAGAGCATGGAGCCCAAGGAGGCTGCCCAGTATAGAACGTTGTTAACCTGTTGAACTACCCTAAACCCTATAAACCCTAGGCCTAAACCCTAAACCCCTAAACCCCTAGACCCTCTACCCGAAGCACCTGGCCAGGCCAAGGTCCGTGCAATGCTTCGGGAGCTGGAGGACAGCGGCCTATCCACCAGCCTCTGTCTGGCAATGGCGAAAGGCAGTGCACGAATAGGGTGTGCCAACATAGCGCGGACCATGCGCAAACATATTTATATATATATATATAGATATCTATCTAATATCTAATATCTAATATCCAATATCTAATATCGAATATCGAATATCTAATATCTATATCTATATCTATATCTATATCTATATATGTGTGTGTACGCATACATACATACATACATATATATACATGTATATAGCTATACATGTGTGGACACATATTTTTTAGTATACATATATACCGCAGACGCATTGCTGAGCCTTGGGTGAGGGGGCTGGAAGCCTGCATGAGTTGCAAAAACTAGTAGTGAAGTCGGAACTCGCGCCGTCAGACCTCGGAGCAAAGTCCATGTCGGATCCCATTATGCGACAATACATTGTTCCGGGACGACTTCGCACGTCCATGATGTCGAAGGATGCAGACTCCTTGGTGAACCTCTGACCCGATCTGCACATCACCTGTCTTTATCTGGCCGTCCGCACTCACCAGAACTGTGCACAAGACCAGCCCGCCAGGAGCTGGACGAGCCAGAGGCTGACACCGCCCACCGCTGAGTGCTGATTGCGCAGCAGACGGCAAAGCCTAGTCACAGTCTTGGATGCATGACAAGGGTATGAGCTAGTGCCACCAGGGCAGGTTCATGAGCATGCTATACCATCATATCTTTTTGTTTGCTTGGCTGCATCTGAAAACCGCATGGTGCGGCTGCGCCTAATGATTAGGTCGGCAGCTCCCCGGAACAGTGGCTGGAGGCCTGCCGCACAGCGAGGTCTGGTGTAATTCGTGTTCGTCAGGCCAAAACGAGCTGTGACTGCTTTGTACTTGCAGCTCAGACGTGCTTCCTGTAGCTGCCTGCCAAGTTGCGATTGATCTTCCAGATGTCGTGGACAGATGCAGGTTTTTGCACCTACGCCTCTCTAAGTCTAATCTTGTTGTGTGTGTGTGTGTGTGTGTTTGCCAGGGCCTGTCGCCTTGCCTAGGTCCAGGAGGCCTGCGTTTTTGCTAGCCACTGCATTGGTCAGCTTGGGGGGCACTCCGGTTGGCTGATTCCTTAGAACGACTGAAGCTCCGCGATAGGTACGTTGTCCATGTCGCCGTCACCCCAGCTTCCCGTTGATCTTGCTCCGGGGGGCTCCGGGGTTTCAGCACGTCTCCTGCATACTTTCGAGGCCCTCCTCGCAGACATGCACTTCGCCTATGAGCGCTTGTCTCAAGGCGTGATCGGCATCAAGTGCCCATGCCGTTAAAGAAACTGCGATGCTTCCTTGCAGGTCCCACAGGAAGTGGCAGAGCAACATCTTGGCCAGGTGCATGGCGTCAAGCTTTCACAGGCATTCGAGGTCATCTCGAAATCTCCAACTCCCACACTTCGAGCTCGGCTCTATCCATCTTCTCATGATAGCACTAATCGCACTATACGGTTCTCAGGTTCACTGACTCTTGCAGCAATAGTGTAGTGCCAGGTCCCAGCACCCTCCGCAAGTCCGGAGTCTTCGCCAACAAAGCTCCACGCCGCGCGTGAGGCTTCAGAATCATGTTGGGTCGGAAGGGCCCTAGACCTTGACCACCGAAACTGCTGGCCTGAATAAGCAAACTAGCAGGCACTTTGTGAGAGTGTTGTGCCAACTCAGGCTGTTTTTTCTTGTGCAGTTTTGAAGTCTGAGTTGCTCCGGCGGCTGATGGTTGTGGTTTGATTTTTTGTGTTTTTTGCCGTGTGCTGTTTGCGGTTTGATCTCGTGTGCTTTTGGGGCTTTTGGCGATGTGTGCCGTCCGTTCCCTCAAGTTCAGAAGTTGAGCGAGGTAGAGAAGAGCAGTTTTCGTGTATGTGGCCAGTTGCAGTTTTCTACTATGGTATCTTCCTTAGTCTTAGCCTAGCTGTCTTTGGGTCTGACCTGTCACAAGGCAATTCTCCAGCATGTGATCTACTTTGGCAGAGTTTTCTAGATGACATGTGGGTGTCTCACTAGCGTCCTAATATCCCTTGCTTCACCCTAAGTCTCATAACGTCATACACGCTCAATCTACGTACCGCAAAATCCTAAAGCTCCGAACCCCCACTCCCTGTTTCGCGCAAGGTTTCCGGGTTCCCGTTTTATAGGTATAGGCCTTTTTAACGCGTCGACGCACTGTTCGGTTGGGAACGGCCACATGCCATTCATCCCTGCGCTTCCAGCACAAAAGGATGTGCTCTCTCCATGTAGCCAACCCGGCCAACCCTCACGACACAATCTTGTGGCGAGTGGAAGCAAAACAGCAGACTCCTTGGATTCAGAAAGCTCAAATGTCAAGGGTGGGCAGCTTGAAGCCTCAAATCGACCAGCGAAGATCGGGCAAGAACTGGAGGTTCTTGACATGGAGGATCTGCATCGAATCCTTCAACTTTTGTTCGTTGATTCTGGTTCTGAGTGACATCGCGTGCAAGGATCTCACGCGGGAGATCACTCAGTTGGAAGATTTGCGGCTTTGTGCTCGCGGCCCGGTGGTTGTTGATGTTGTTGCCCACAGGTCCTACTGTAGCATTCTCCAGCTGATAGAGTGTGCGCTCTGCACTGTCGCCATGAGGCCAGCTGGTCCTTTCCTGGCTTTCGATGTTCAGAGTTTGTACTTGCCTGAGGTGCAGCAAATATGCGTTGCCTTGCGCGGCTCGGCCCATGACGACTCCGCTGAGGTGGGAGAGGCGCCATGATGTGTAGAGGCAAAGCAAGGACCCTCCCGCTGTAGAGCGTGCAGGACGGCGGAAATCGTTGGTGGACTTGAAAATACACACACATATATATATATATACATAATGTGGGCCGTTTACGAGCACATTCCGGCAAGAGTAACCGGCAAATATGACCTTCCGTCATGTTCTTTGGTATGAAAGAGCGCCCAAGCTCGATCACTCAACCGCTGGAAAGGCTTCTGCAGAGCCACCGCTCTTGCCAAGGTGGGCCATTGAGAGCAGGAGTCACGAATTTGAACTTTCTCTGCCAAGTTCTGTGCCGAAAACAGAAGGTTTATTTGAGTTTGCTGAAATCTCCGTGGCCTGACACTTCTTGATGTGGTCCACCGGGACGTCTTCAGGAAGAGTCTGTCAGGCCAGCACTGGCTTTGAAGGCCCGGGCGTTGCTGGAAGCTTCTCTCCGGCCAGCGCCACCTGGCAGCACGCTGCTTCCAATCTCTTCCTGTCTTTGTGAAGTTGTGTGATTTCGCCCCTATCATCTTGGCTCAGAGTGCTGGTGCATGCCGGTATTTAGATCAGGGCCATCTTCAGCCCAGGCTGGCGGAGTTCGCCAAGACGTACCTACAGCCAACCCGACATGCTTAAATCTAAAGCCCGAAAGATCTGAAGAAAGAAGAAGCAGCAAGGGGCAAGTGCTTCAACGCACCTTAAGACCATAAGAGCCTCATAATGCTTGTATACCGTAGCCCTACTGCCAGTAGGCGCAGTACTCGTAGAAGAAGATGTTAATGGCCAAGCCTGAGCTGGATAGACTGTTACATTGAGGTGGGTTCTGGGGCCAGGGTGGGGGGGTTGCCTTGGGGGGAGTTGCCTTGCCAATATTAGTTATTACTGTTGCACAGGAGAATTGTTCTGGTGACAAGGGTTAACTGAGGTCGGTTGCATGATGTTGCATTGGTGTGTTCTCTGCGCTCAGACGCAATCTCCTGCTCAGAGGCAGCCATCAGAAGCCGATGTGCTGACAGTGCGGGGCTCGCCTCGCGGGCAACCCATGTGACATGAACAGCGCGCTTCTGGCAACGTCGATCTGTCTGCCACAGCTTTCCACTAGCGGGTGGGAAGTTATGGTGCTGGTTGCTGTCAGGAATTAGTCACCGTTGCTCGTGGTACAGTAGTTCCTTTTTTTTGTGGGCATCGTCGCTGTCGTCGATGGTCGTGGTCGAGTCGAAGCCTAGCTCTGCTTTTTTCGGCCCCCACGGCTACCCTTGGGTTTTCTTAGGGTGACCGACAGTGATGTCGTGAAACTGGGCCCACACCCTCAAAGAAACCCTCAGCCCCTCGAATTGAATTCCACCCCCGCACCCCCCCTTAATTCCGGAGAGGGCCTGGAGGGTTTTTTCAAAGGGTTTGTGCGTATGAGGGTTTTACATCTAGAGGAAGAGACTAGCAGTTGTTCCAGTGCATGCGTCTGTGTCTGGCCGAGTTGGGCTGAGGCCATGCAGAGCCGGTTGGCCGAGTTGGAGTTTGAGATGAGTGAGGCGGATCATGTCTAGGAGATGTCGGAGACCCAGTACTTTCGAATGCCATGGTTTTCCAAGCGCTTGAAGAATCTTGGATACGCCATGTCATGCTGCAAGCGGACGAAATGTCGGCAAAACGTACAGTGTACAGGCAAAACGTGTGCTGCAGGAGAACGTGCTCAAGAATTAGTTGCGCGGCTGGGATTTGCCTACGGACTTTACCCTTGCCTGGAGGAGATCCTTGTCAGACAAGAAGCTCAGTGTAAACTCTTGAACACATACCTGGTCTTGCGCAGAACCACGTAGCCAGTCCACACTCGCAGCCGAGACAAGTATCCATACCTGGACTGCATTTATTTAAGTATGGACAAGAGCGGAAGGAAAAGGATGAACGTAGTTGCACGCAGGGCATGTTCTTTCTACATACAGTCATACAGTTCAGGGCATGTCCTCTTCAATGTTCGCATCTGCTGCCCACGTGTGGAGCCAGATTGTCGACATGCAGAAGATGGCCTTGTTGTTCTATTCTTTGAACCGGCGATTACGCAGAGAAACGCCCCCACCCCACCCCCGTTCGAGCAAGCCAGACGGAAACCTGGACTTGCGACTTCGCCATGGAGTAAGATGTCGCGCCGCTCGGAGCACGGTTCAGGCCAGGCGGACACTGTAAGCACGAGTTGATAGCTTTGCCTGTCGCCAACAATAGCTCAATGTTGGGATGTTCTCTATTCTACTAGCAGTCCTTTATAGGGATTGTAATAGGGGTACTATAATCCCTATTAAGGACTGTTGGAAAAGTTCCATGCTTTCAGTTTGTTTTGGAGGTTGGCAGCGGCTTCTCTTGGCCCCAGCTATGGCCCAGGCCACACGGTGCTGTTGCTGCCGGGTGGTCCAAACACGAGTCTGTACTGCACTTGTACATACTTAGTACTCCCTATTCTACCAGCAGTCCTTCATAGGGATTATAATAGCGACATGTACCTACATCTCAGACCGCGAGGGGGGGGGGGGGGGGGGCGCTCTGCAAGGGAATGCAACAGTTTTGCTCGGGCTGCTTCTGATAGCTGATAGCATTGATGTGCCGTGTCGTGTCCCGGAACAGTAAAGTCAGGTTTGATCGAATTAGATCCAGGAGCCCGTCAGATCTGGCACCTGCTCACCACAGGTCACGATGGGGCTCGTCCCAGTCATGCCACTGGAGGGGCCGCTCTTCCCTGACTATGACTGTGTAAACGCTGCTGGGGGCTTATTGTTGGTGAGAGACGCTTTTGATGGAACGTTTGTGAGTGACTGAACGCCAGTGTGCATTCGCCAGCCTGCGAACGAGCCTTGCTTCATTTACATGCAGGCCAGCAAGTATATCACATAAGGACTCGGATGCCCTCTGCCACACTTTGATGGCTGAGGGCACTGTGTATGGCATCGATTGGCCAAAGTGGCAGCACACTCAGTCCATGCTAAGGGGACCCGCGGTTCCTCGAGCACCATGTCATGCAAGGCTCCGTTCCTGAGACATTTCAAAGCTTCTGGTCTCTTGCCTGAATGGTTGCCACAAAGACGCTCCTGGGAGTCTTGCAAGGAATAGTTCTTCGCAGCTTACTGCAGATAGTCTCAGACACGGGCTAAGAGGCTAGCGTGGCTGGATGGCTATAGTGTGAATGAACTGATGTGCAGATATGTGGGCGTGTCGGCCTAGGCTCTCCATTTACGAGAAGGCGTGACATAGACAAAGTCACCTTGGGCAGTCCCACTCAACTACTCCGATCTGCTGCCCGCAGCACGAGTCACTTGGCTTTCGTGTGTGGCATCGGCGGCATGACGGGCAGCATCGTGCTCGATCTTGGCAGGTGTCACCAGCATCATGGACAGATGCAAGCTCCAAGCGGCTTGGCAGAAAGTTACGAAGCAGGCGGCAAAGCACGGCCACACGGTGTCTGAGTTGGTCCTTGTTTGCAAGGTACCTCGACTTGTTCATGGACGCCACCGAGGAATCATACAGCAGCACCCGCCTTGGAATTAGCCCCGCAGTGCTTTATAAGGGCTTTAGGGTCAACAGCCAGACAGAAACACGAGCTGGCACCAAGATCCCTTTACCCTTGTCCTATAGGTAGGATAAGGGGGACCCTTAAAAGGGAACCCCTTCTTAACCCTCTTCTGGCTCTCTTAAACAGGGACCTTATTCAGAGGGTCTATATCCCCAAGGGTCCCCCTAATCCTATCCCCTACCTTGCTTCAGATTTTAGGGTTTGTTCCGGAGGGATGTTCATTCCTGGCATGGAGTGGCCGGTGCATGATGGATGCCCAGGTTGGTGGGAGGCTTGCCCGCGGTGGCCTCAGACCGAAGATCTAAGTAGACCGAAGATCTAAGTTCTCTAGGAGTTGCCCATCAGTTCAGTTCAGTTTGCGAGCAGACCACAGCACGATTCAATCTGTTGGTGCATGGAACCGCTTGCAAGAATGCAGACTGGACTTGAGACTGCAGATTCAAGCAAGCTGCAAGGTCAATACAAGGTGATTAGAGCTTTCAGAAGTGCAGAAGTTTCAGATCAGATCAGAGCATTCTTAGCTGCTGAGCTACCTTAAACGTTCGCCTGCCATGGTTTCCCTTTGTTCCCTGTGGCTGACCTTGGCCTCCCTGACTGTGAAAGGGGAGGCGCGGGCCTGGTCTCATGCTGGTCTCATGCTCGGCAGGTGTCAACAGACTGACGTCTACTTGGGGGTTTCCGAAATTAGGGGCACCTTATTGGGGTCCTTATTATAAGGGAATCCTACTATTTGGGGGTCCGTTTTGGGGCTCCTTAATTTTCGTAAACCCCCAGTTGCTAAAGCTAACATGAGACATCTTTCTCCCACAGGCTGTTGCTCTTACACTTCCATGATCTTTTGGGTCCAGTCTGCCTTCGAGGTGGGATTGGTGCAGGATTTTCGGAACACTGGGTGGGCGATAACCCGCCACGTGGCAGGAAATCTTTGCACACGCCCTCGGGTTTTAGTGTTCTCCCAATTACCCCCCCCCCCCCCTCTCGCCAGCTCAAGCTCAGGACAACTTTTGCCAGCACAAGAGTTACATTCAGTGGCAGTAGCTGGGCTGCTGATGGACTTCGGGGCTTTCTACTACGGATGTCTTGATGTCTGCTGCGTCTGGCCATGTCTCGCAAAGGCTAGACTGGAGACTTTGCTGTCCGAGCATGGTCGACGAGCTTTCGGCGATGATGGGTCCAAGGATCTCAAAGTTTGCACACTCATGACCCAATCAGGATTCGTCAACTGTGTCCAAGCAATCCAAAGGAAGTCCGCTTCACCTTCGCCGTGCATGAATTGGATGGCACCCCAGCCGCACCATGGAGTCACAAAGGAGAGCAGATTGTGTTACAAAGGGCCACGACAAAGGGCCACGGCCCTTTGATCTTTGAAGCTCCTTGTCTCGAGCCGTATTTTCTTTCCTGGGGCTAGGATTTGGTTCGTGATTAAATTCCTCGCCTCCGTGCTTTCGTTGGTTGTTTGTTTGTGGTTCACCCCATTCGTGGTTTCGTTGGGATTCAATAATAAGTGCAGGGCTCAGAGTTTAGGGTTGTCTGTCGTTCTTTTTTGAACTGTTCGATTTTCCCTCCCCGGAGAACGAGATCAAGAAAAGAACCTAAAGCCGTAAGCCCTAAACCCTGAACCCTTTTCGGAGCAGTCGCTAGGTGCGTGAAAAAAAACCCCCAACTTGGCTCCACTAGATTGGCTGGATGGGATTGAACCCCGGGAGGAAATTCCTGCACCCACAGGAACGGTGAACGACTTCGTGAGCAAGGAGACGGGCGCTCTGTGGCGACAGGCTTTGGGGGTGGGGGGGGGGGGTCGGGGACACGAACGCAGGGCGGCCTGGAGGAATGCCATCCAATCAGCCCAATCATCTAAAAGGGTTGAAGGTTTTGGGTCCATTGCGTGTGAGAGCCAAAGAATCAGAAGCTTGTCCCCCACCAGAGAGCCGGCGCGCGGCAGAGTCTTAGAGGCTTCGACCTTCGCCGGCACACAGAAGCTTTGCATCTTGATGGACCGTGGCTTCTCCAAGGACACCTGCTTCACAAGCAGCCTATAACGGGGCATTTCCCAAAATAGGGGTGCCCAATATACCCCAAAGTACTATATAATCTTCTTACAGGCACCCCCAAAAGGGTACCCCCCCCCATTTTCCGGGAAACCCCCAACTAAACCCTAAACCCTGAACCTTGAATGCCTCGCCTGGCTTGTCCGAGTGTGAGCGATTAAACCCTAAACCCCAAACCCTAAAACAAAAAACCTAAACCCTAAACCCCCAACAGCCTCAACAAAGATGGCAAGAGGATCCCGGGGATCCCGAGACGCACTGGCACCGGGACGATGAGGCGATCGGCCTCCAAGGCCTGCATGCAGGCCTCTGGGGCTTTGCCGGGTTCTTCTTAATTTAAGTAGCTGAGTAGGTAAGCCTTTTATAACCTTTTGGGGTATATATATATATATAGAGAGTAGGTAACCTTTAGCCTTTTGGGGTTTACATACATTAAAAAAAAATATATATATATATATATATAGAATTCGACCTTCACAGGTTGACCTTCTTTGTCCCAGGGTACTCCGCAACTGGGTCTTTGTTTGGAGTTCCTTGCTTCTTGTAAGACTCGAACCGTGCTCAGGCATTCGGACCGTGCACGCTTGGATTCCCCTCGTTGCAATGGACAAAGACTTCGGCACGTTGCGATGCTTGCAGCATTAAACGAGCTCACATAGAATGCGCATGCGCAGGGAGTGGCACGGAACAGTATTGTCCCACATGCATATACATCCATGCATTCGCAAAACCCTTTGTGGCTCCTTTCAAGGATACCTTCTCGGCACGCACCGCCGAGAGCTTCGAGCCTGCATGAAGAGAGCGCCTCCTGATCTCAGCTCGAACTCTAGGACCCTAGGATGCCCTTTTGCCTGTGTCTGGCTTGATCATTGGTCCGCATGCCAATCACGCAGCATCTTGGCTTTAAGGTACAACTGGTTCGAAACGCTTCTGGCGTCGCTATGGGGCTGGGAGTTTGCCTGGTTTCTCACCTCAAGGACGGCCTGTGAGGATCATCAATATTCAGGCTTACCTAGAAGCTCAGCAAGCCATTGTTGTGTCGACCTAAAGTAACTAGACGAGAGATACATGGTGAAGGCTCAACACTCACCATAAGTTCGTGCGCGTTTTTGGTCAGCCGCTCCTTCCCCCTCCTGTTTTGCCCCTCCACTCCTCCTCCTCCTCCATCCCTCCCCCTCCATCCCTCCCCCTCCATCCCTCTCCCTTCCATCTCTCCCCCTCCATCCCTCCTCCTCCATCCCTCCCGCTCCATCCCTCCCCCTCCTCCCACTTATCCCTCGCTATCATCAGTGAAAGTTCATTTTTTGTTTCCTCTATTTTCAGAGAAAGGCCTTTAGCCCTCCTAGAGTTTGGAGGTTTTCCTTTTTAGAGATAGAGGAAATATTGGTCTTCGAAAATAAAGGTTTCACTGCGCTATTGAAAAATTCGGAAGATACAGGGTTTCCTCTTCAAATTCAACCAATCCAAGATGAGGTTGGGGGGGGGATCCTGTAAATTGGGGGGGGGGAGGGCGGCGCTCTGTTTTATCAATGTAGGCACCCCCCCCTCCCCTCATCATGCTCATGATGGACAGACCGCAACCTTCTTAAGCCGCTCAGTCTGCTTGCAAACGGGAAGGGGTTGGAACTTCTCTGAGGAAGGTCGGGTAATGCATCGGAATCTCGAGGAAATGTAGTGCTCCTAAGTAAGAACAAAGGGTATACAGCCTTGGATTGATCTGGTGCTGATCCTTATTTCATTGTGTTGATCTCTGGACTTTGATCTTTAAGCTGGGTATGGCTAAGGGTGCCACCTTTCACCCGATGTTTTTGTTTGGCCAGTTCTCCATGGCCAGGGTACATAGGTTGAACTGAACTTTCATCGTACCCGCCGGCCAGGGTAGAGCAAGACGACCACTTGCGCCTTGGCTGGGATGTGAACGAATGAATGAATTTGAAAAGAAGCTCAGCAAACTAGTTGCCGGCGATGACCTTGTCACCTGCAGCTGTGGCTGCTTGCCATGCCGATGTAAGAGTGTTCTCTGCGACTTGGCAGGCGGTTTGGAGATGTGGCATGGCACGATGGATGGACATTGCATTCTGCTGGCTCCAACAAGGCATGCTCCATGCCATGCGAAGCAGGGCTTGTTTGCTTGCTGGAAACAAACGGCAAACCCTGCTGTCATGACCACATTGGGCTGCCGTTCCCAGTCGGTTCGCCTTTGCACGTAGAGACCAATGTCGGGAGACTACCAGAAATCAGCTGACTTGCTTTCACACTGCATTGCTTAAAAGGCAGCTACAGTTCGCAATGGCTTCGCCATCAGCCTCCTGGCTAATGAAGCAGCACATGCCATTCGATGGACCCTGAGAAGCTTGCGAATTCTTTCGCAAGTCGAGTGCCAGACCGCAAGCCAGTCGGCACTGATGGTATGACACGATGAAGCATCAGCATCAGGGCAGTTGCTGGCGCGATCAACGCACCATTTAACCTATCCCAAGCAGTCAGACCCTCACCATTTTCTGACTCAAGCCTCGACTCTTCAGAGTTGAAACAACAGAGGGGCATGCTGCAATCGTCTGGTTGTTACATTTTTCGGCTTGTGCTCATGTCCTCATTTGTTGGTGGATCCACGCTGTGATGACAGAGATAGTTCGGTCACGTGCGCAGTGCATCTGGTCTGCTTTGATCCTAGGCTACGCCTATTGCGCTGATGAAAGCGGCTGTCGTGGAGCTACCCAGCACATGTCCAAAACAGATGCTACCTGCAGGCTGTGGAGGGTTGGGAGACAACGCAAAAAACAAATCCCGTGACAACACACGGGCAGAAGCCGGAACAGCACGAACACAACCTTGCATCGCTGCAGCTTCGAGCGGTGGGGTAGCTGATGCAGATGTTCCGATTCTAAACTCTTCCTGTCGGTCTGTGCATGCCTTTGTGGCCATTTCAATTTTGGGCTCTTAGCCGTCTCCGCCATTGCGCAGTTCCGTCCGCCGCAGTTGCTTTTACTTGAACCTCGTGGCACCATGCAGCCTTGCGCACCTCGGATCTGCCTGAAGTATTGAATGAGATTGAAGGCAGGATGATGGCATTGCGTAGCACAGAAGTGATGCGAGCAGTTCTTGCGGAAACTCGAGGACCCCTCTTCCGCCTTCTTTGGCTTCATGGGGGTCACATCCGCGTTGGTTTTCGCCAACCTGGGCGCAGCATCGAGGTCGCAGAGGAAGTTGTAGAAGTCCCATTGTATAAAAGAGGGAGGCATTTCCGGGAAAGTGAACGAGCATACATGCCCACTGCCACCGACATCGTAAAACGTCGAAGATGGCGGTTCAGGAGCAGTAGAATGAGTTGCATCCTACCGGCGCGCGCTCTTGATCGCACTTTTCTTCTCTACCCGTCCTCATCTTGCGTTTAGGCTGGTAAAGCAAGCAGAAGTAGGCTGAGTGCCGGACCATGATTCTCGGTTCCGAGGCATATGGAACGGCGAAGTCGGGCGTTGGGATCGCCTCTATGGGCGTCATGCGCCCTGATATGATCATGAAGTCCATCATTCCAGTGGTCATGGCGGGTGTGCTCGGCATCTACGGCTTTGGCCTTAAAGACGTTGAAGCCTCAACTCCAACTCCATCCAAAGCTTGATGCCCGCTATGGGCCGCATGTTCAGATACGTCATGCGTCAGTTGGGTCAAGCAGAATGGAGTGCAGAGAACGAGCCAAGAGCATCATAGAGCCGCAGAGCGTGAAACTTGTCTTTTGCCCCAGGCCTCATCACAGCGGTGATCATAAATGGCAAAATGGATGCGGCCAACTACTCTGCTTACTCGGGCTACGCGCACTTGGGAGCAGGAGCCATGAAGTGCATACACCAACACCTCAACCCTCAGCCTTGCGGCAGCGAAGCCTATAGTCGCTTCAGTCCTTTTTCCTGTCCTCAGTCTCAGCAGCCCCCAGGCCTCACAGTGGGCATGAGCTCCCTGGCTGCGGGTCTGGCCATCGGCATCGTGGGCGATGCTGGTGTCCGGGCCAATGCTCAGCAGCCACGTCTCTTCGCGGCTCGGCAGAGCCATGCGGTGCGTCTTTAGTCGAGGCTTGAGGCGTCGGAATGACTCGCGAGGGTGTTTCTGCTTCCATGCTCGGAGTGGAGCAGGTCGGGATGATCTTGATCTTGATCTTTGCAGAGGCACTGCCGACATTGCTGCTTTCTACCACAACTTGACTTGAGCTGTAACTCATGCATGTACTTAGCTTGCCGAGATGCCGAAATGTGTTATGGGTTATGACTATAATACCGGTGGCCCCCTCGAAAGCCTGCACTTGGATGGCAAAGGCTCTGGGTCTCTACGGTCTGATCGTTGGTCTAGTCGTGGCGTCCACGGCAGAAGGGACCCTCAGCAGTTGAAAGCTGGAAGGCTTTCTCCCCCGTTGCTTATTCAATACTATAACATGCAGATTGGGAGTGAGCCAACATCTTGTTTGCGTGAGACTAATGGTCAACACGCCGCGAAGCAATCCAGGACTCTTAAGTTTCGTTAACGTCCGCTTGGAGCTTGGACCAAGGAAAGGCAAAGGCCTTTGCACGCCCTACGCCTGAGCCGCAGTTGTGCTGCTTTTGGTTAGCAGGTGTGCGCAACGAGGAAAACCTAATGAGGCTGTCAAAATGTGGCTCCTCGTTGCCAGCACCAATTGATTTTGCTGGAGCGTTGCATGCCCTTTGTACGAGCTGGAGTCGTCATCACAGAAGAAGCAATCTCTAAAAAATGCAGGCGAAGTGTCGCAGTGAGTCAGCTTTGCACATTGGGTGTGTCTGCTTCAGAGTTTTGGATGAGCAGTGCGACTTGCTTTCGCACATGCGGATGGATGCTGATACAGTGGTTACGAAGCAGTCTCCAAAGGGCCGCCAGGATACACAATGAGAAGCAATCAAGGCAGGGATACAGTGGTTCAAGACAACATAGATGGTGAGGGAACGAGCTCCTGAGAGCATGAGCTTGAGACTCACATGGGTTCGAGACTCACCTGCAGACTGTCTCAGACAGCGGCGGGGGGAAGAAAAGGACTGCAGCAGGTCACCAGCCGTATCACCCGCACGGGAATGCAGATGTGCAGCCTGGACCAAGCTTGTGTGCTAGACGAGTCAGCAGTCACCCAAAGCTCCTCCGGCAGGGGGGCAGATGTTCTCTTCGACAAGCAGTGGAGAGAGAGACACAGGACGCAAGCTTCCTTGCAATGTTCAGATGCCACCACATGAAATAGCCATTCAAGCTAAAGCCACAAGTTAAGCCTTGCGCAGCCCTGAGGAAGGGCGAGAACGACTATTCCAAGAACATGATCGCTGAGCCGTTTGTGGCCTGCCAGCAATTGCATGCCCTGGCAATCACCTGATTCACTTGTTTGAGGGCATTTGGGGGGGGGGGGGGGGGGGGGGCAGGGGGGACAGACCCAGAACTCAAGGCCCAGCAGGCCTTTCGCTTCGTGTTGCGCTCGGTGGTGGGCTCGCTGTGTGGCCTTGGGTGCCTTGGTGCATCGTATGGACGTAGCGCGCATGTAACATATGGATGATCCTGGATGTACAAGTATCTTTCCGTCCCTGCTGTCTGTGGGAATGTTTGTCGCTGTGTGCACGTGCGAGTGTTGCATGTTGAGTGTGTGTCTATACATGTTGGACTGTGAAGGAACTCTCTGCATGAGCACTGATGATGCCACTTCCTGTAGTTTGGTGGCGTTTTCTGTCGCGCAAACGTTCTCGAAATGTTCTTCAAGAGAAGCTCTCAAGCTGCAGCCGAGGATCCACGCGCTCGTCCAGCGCTTGCGCGGCAAGGACGACAAGACTGACTGAGCACCTCTGATTCGGGGAGTTTCCTGCGCCAAGGTCAGAGCTAACTAGTGCTCTGATCAAGCTTTCTCAGGTCACAATGCTGCAGCTGCACAGTAGGTTAATCAGCAGCTGCTTCGGAGTCGGAGTTTGCAGCCATGGTGATGGCACTGCACGGCTCACCCTTCAATGAAGTACAAGTATACAGTATGGGAGTACCACATGTTCTGTTCGGTTCGCCACCGGAATGATCTATTTGCATCTAGAGAGCCCTCTACCGGAATGATCGCTTTGCATCTAGAAAGCTCACTGGCAGCACTGCTGAACTTTTCACGCTGTGTGGCCACGAACGCTGTGTTGGCACATGATCGCTCACATGTTGGCACCCTTCGTGTCTTTGACCCTTTGACTCGGATTTCGGGCTTTTCCTGGTCATCGGCACTTGCCAGCTCGCGCAGGCAGTCTCCTGCAATTCTTTGGGGTTCGGCATGAACGAGTTCGGGCTCCTTATGGACTCGAAGCACAGCTCAAAGCAGCTGTGGCTCCAGCATTTTCTGGCATCGTGCGGTCGCACGGGCTGCTTGAGCGTGCCGGGGCAGAATGCCAGACCTAGAGACGACGCTCGGTACGAGAAACGCATTGGCGAGAGGCAATGAGCTGTGCAGCTATATGATGATGCCTACATTCAGAATGCAGACAAGCTCAGATAGAGGAAAGGCGTTTGCCTCTCGGAGCAAGTCATTGCGTTCCTCGCAAAGGCTTGGGGTGCTCAATGCTGAGCTTACAATCTATGCAATCGCGGTGTGCTGCTGGCTTGTTTTCTTGTAGTTTCTTATGTGCTCACAGACACGGGGAGAACGATTGCTGGGCAAGGCTTACTGTAAAGGGATTTCTGGGCTGGCCATTGAATCTCTTGATTGCTATCGCCTGTGGTTCACACCAGAAGCAGTCCAAGCCAAGCCAGGAACAATGGCGACCGAGACCATGCCGCTTTCTACCGGGACTACATCAGTCCGTGCCTGAGTGAAGATTGATGTGCTGATTGATGTGCTGGTCTACGATGTCAACACACGTTGCAATCGAATGCAGATGCGGCCAGTGGTGTGGGAGCGTTCATTGGCTGCCTTTGGTATGCATGTGCTGTGTATGCTGTTCCTTACGCTGGCGTTTGTACGTGTTATTGTCAAGAAGGCGACCTGGAGCACATGCTCCCTCCCTCATCCCCCCGGCACACACAGGCAACCCACAGCTCAAGTGCCTCACAACAAACCAAGTTCGAAACACACGAGCCATCTCATCCCGCCTTTGGCTCACGTGGAATTGGAAGGTTTCGATTGAGATGCGCCTTATTTTCCCTGAATCTGTCACGCTCACGCTTCGCTGTGCTGACACTTCTCATTTGGGCCTCACAGCTGTGGCGTGGCAATGTGGCCAGCAGTGGCAAAAGAGCAATTGTAGCGAGATGTGCTCGAAGGCGAGAAGCTGCGTGCCCTGCCGCTTCGAGTGCTCATCGGACCGCATGCCTTGCCGATCACTTGAAAGATTGCAAGTTGGGGCTACAGGGGGGCCCGGGGGCCTGCACTGCTGCAGGAAGTCAGCATAAATCAGCCATGTCGGCCACTGTCTCTCTTACAGGATCTCGTTGGCCACTGTTTGCTCTCCTAGCGCCGGGCTCCAAGCACCATGCTGTACTGTAGGGCACGGTGAACACGTAGTAAAGCCGGGCACTGTCGTTGGCACTTTGTTGGCACATTGGTTGAACTACGCGGTTTCATGTGAATGGGTGTATGGCACTAATTTGGGTTCTTCCATCGTAACTATGGCCTTTCCCGACTTGGTCTCTAGGCAGGAAGATGAAGGTGGCATGCCTTTCTCTTGCGTGGTTTAGGAATTGCCGGTTCCGATCCCTGTGGATGCATCACATTTTGCGGGTTCCCGAGTGTATTCTGAAGGTCAGACAATCTGCGCCAGCGCCCTCCACCTGAAGGCAGATAAATACATAATTTCGCCATGTCATGTTGGTAGCAGATCCTCATGCCTTCACGTGCAACATGCATCTGTGCCTCTTTGCTGCACTCTTCTGTTTCTCCTGAATTCAATCAACGTCTCTCTCCGCCGATGTACCTGCAGCAGCGGAGTTAGGATAGTTATAGTTAGATAGATTGTAGGAAGTTGTGATGCGCTTTGAGATAGACCGCGCGCGTGCGCCAACTTGCTGGCCCGCTCCCGCTCGCAATGTCCTGAAGGGCATCCCCAACTGACACACGACCAGCTGCGATCAGCTCATCTGACCCAGCGCGAGGGAGCCCTGACCTGGCCAACAACTCCGAGACGAATTGCGAGCATCTGGACGAGCCTGCAGCATCCCCAAGTGCTCTGTTCAGGTTGAACTCAAGTGATATTCCAAGCCAACTCTAATTAGCGACAGCTATGACAGCTACTGAGATCCTTGAAAGTTTAAAAGCTCTGGAAATCCAAGCAGCAAGTGGACTCTCCGAGTCAACTCTCTCTCTCTCTCTCTCTCTCTCTCTCTCTCTCTAACTCTAAGACCCTAAACCCTAAACCCAGAGTCATCACGCCGAGGCCTTAAACTGGCGTGGCTACCTTGCAGCTTTCTCCTCGGACGTTCTGAAGACCTGGACCTCCGGATGAATTCAGATCCCTCCTCCAAGCATGTCAGGGGCTATATGTCAGGCTGTGGCTATGTCAGGCTGATACAGCCTGGAGGGTCCATCTCAGGTTCGCTGATGGTTCAGCCCTGCCTTGGTGTGGTGTTTGTGGTTCATCTATCCCTCCGCCTCTGCTCCCCTCCCTCGCTCTCTCTCACTCTCAGGCTCTCGCTGACATGCGTTTGGGGCATATCGGGAACATGCCGCAGCATGACAAGGTACGAGAGTACCATCCGCTACATCTACTCTTGGCAGATGACGCAAATCCCACAGGCTGCGCAGCACCGTGGTGTGAAACAATTGGGTCGGCCACAGTTGGGTGAGCAAGCTGTGCCGCAGAAGATCCGCCAATTCATGCGCCGGCCAGGAGCTCTTCAGGGAGTGTCCCCTTGGCTTCATTACAACCATGCTCATCAAGGCCTGCAGAAGTTGCCCTTCTCTGGTCACGATGGAAGTAGCAGGTGTAATGCCCCGGAAATCCCGAGGAAAAAGGAAAGAAAGAACGAGAGAGAGAGAGAGAGCTTTGAAGGGTCCCTGGCGTTTGGTGCATTTCGATAGTCAGAGCTTCGATTCGGTCTTCGCTCGCTGAACTGGAGTGAAGGGAGGGAGGCCCGAAGAACAGCGCACCCAAACCCGACGGAAGATTCAGCTTGATCCAAACGCGTGGTGCACAGAGAATGTCTGCCTGAGGGCGCGACTGAAACCTCCGAACATTTCACATCTCAGCGCGCTCAGCATTGATGACTTTGATGGCTGGCCTGACTCACTGACTCGCTTGCTGGTGGCAATACGAACCCTAAACTATCTTAAGCTACCCAACCAAACGATGTTGAGTGCAGGATTTGAGCTTGCTTGATTTGGCTTGGTAACCCGCCCTGCAAAATAGCAAAAGAAACAACATCAACTGGCGCAAGCACTGAGCAAGGGAATGAGAGAGGAAGGCAGATGCACCATGCAAACGAATCACAGTCCATGCTGGGGAACCTCACATCAAAAGCAAGCTGCGATATGACACTCTGCACACAATGAAAATCGTCTGGATTCTGCGCAACTCGCGCCAGATGACAGCTGCCTAATTCGCTTGGACTACTGACTCTGGCAGCTGGCATCAGCTAGTTCATGCCGCCCAGCCAAATGTCATGAGCAAAGATACCGATTGCACAGATGTTCAGGCTTTCCTGTGTGCCACCTCGGAGAGCAGTTGCTTCGATGGTTTTGCCAACCAGGCTCGGCCTTCTGCCCATGTGGGTGCTGTACCTTGCGTACTTCTGACACTCCTGAACGATGTACTCAAGGCAGGATCGTCTACCATAGTTAGACGCGTGGCTTGGCCAAGGTCGAAGGCTTCTTAAAGTCCTCGCAAGGCACTCAGTCACCACAGATGGGATGCGTCAGCGAGTTCGCACATGCGTACAGTATCTGCTGAATTCCGTGACCTAAGGCCCTACATGCTCGAGATTCTGGCTCATAGCATTTGGGCTGCAGCTCAATTACTTTTGGTTGAGGTAAAGTGAAGTGGCTCTGACCCTCTTTGACCTTCCAAGCCCAGCCGAGAAGTAGAAGCAGGGGCTTTTTTCACGACCTCCCTGCAGAACTCTCACACTCTGACGTGTCGGCTGCAGGCTGCTGCTTGTCTGAATGGGCAGACTTCCAGTGTAACAGCGTAGCGCAGCGCCAGCCAAAGGCAGATGGCCTTTAGCGACGCTGATCAACTTCATGGCTTGTCTCTCAGCTTGTCCAGTAGCCAGACGGCCCGTACATGTGGTGCAAGATCCCAACGATGCAGCCAAGGCAAAGTCCACCCGACACAAGTACTACCTGGACTTCTCAGAGGTGTGACCATCTAGCTCACAGATGTGCTCACGTTGCATGTTTTGGGGGCCTGTTGGGCGCTTTGTGACCTGGGAAGTGGCAGGCCGAACTGTCAGGCAAGCTTCCCTCATTGGCAAGCCAGCCCAGACCTCGCCATGTCCAGCACAGGAACCCAAAATGAGAGCATTCCCTCATGTTCTCGTTGGATGAATTACCTGAACCCAGGTACTTGGGTTTGACCTGGATCCGATGCTGCTTAGACCGTTTTGCCGCCTGAGGCCCACGACCTCGGTTGGGAAAGTGGGCACATGGCTGGGATCGCTTTACAAGGCCGGTCTTCTCGTTGAGGTGCTCAAACAATGCAAAGGATATATGTATGTATATCCACCCCCCCCCCCCCACGCGCCAAAGATTGTGGTAAATATTTGGAACCTTATAATACAACAAGGTGTCGTTCTGCACATAGTGTGTCAGACGCGGGTAGGGTGTCCAGGCTGCGAGTCGTCTTTGTATCGACCGAAATGCTTAGTCGGTCGGCCCCCGGATCGAAGACTACAGATTGAAGATGTTGGGAAAAGTTTCCTGAGCATCTTCAATCCGGAGATCCCCGAAAAGGCCAAATATGCTTGAACCGCCCCCAGCAATGCCCGGTCTTGCCGCACCGTCCGCTTCCGGAGATCGGTTGGTTAAGGGGGGTTACCCATTTTGGCAAAACTCGTGCGTCCGTGTTTTTCCCCGCTGTCGTTTTGAAGCGTGGCCATGCAAGTCTCCAGCTTCGCATCTCACCAGGCCATGAGAATGCATGGATCTTTGGGGGGGTTTGCTATATTTTGTGGTACCTCCCCCCTACTATTACTATTGCTGCTTCGCTGCTGCTGCTCCTACTGCCACTACTACTACTACTACTACTACTACTACTACTACTACTACTACTACTACTACTACTACTACTACTACTACTACTACTACTACTACTACTACTACTACTACTACTACTCCTGCTGCTGCTGCTGCTGCTGCTGCTGCAAAAGCTTGAGCCCAATGCTTTGTATGACGTTGAACCCATGCACGTTCCGGATTACGGGCTCTCGCAGAGGGGTTGTACTGTACTGCATACCCTCTGCAAAATTTCCGAGTGACATGGGTCTTTAGTACCAGAAGCTCCTCTTCCTCCTCCGTGTGCACCTCAGCCAGCAGCTTCCATATAGTTCCCACATGTTCCCACAGAAGATGTTTGAATGTTGGGCCTGGCAGGAAAATTCTCAGAGAGCCTTGGACAGATTTAGCATCCAGCGTCGGCCGTAGTCGCACATATTATGTCAGATATGCCCCTAAACCCCTAAACCCCTATAAACCCCTAAACCCCTAAAACCCCTAAAACCCCTAAACCCCTAAACCCTCATTTTGCCAGCGTGAGAGTCGAAACGAGTGCTGGAGAGTGCCCCTGCTGTGTCAGTTGCCACAGAAGTGCCTAGCCCTAAACCCTAAACTCTAAACCCGAAACCCTAAGTATGTTTAGGATGGCATTGGGTATAATAGCTGGACTCTCTTTTCGTTAGAAACTCCCATCCTCAGGCAGTTTTTTCTGCGAGACTTAAATAGGCACGAATTTCTCCATTTCTTCTGATGTAACTGACAATATTCCCTGCAATGTGGCCTGAGTGTCAGCTAGGCGGGTGGCAGACAAACAAAAGCCCCAAACCCCATCGGCGCCTCGACCCCTCAGAGGCTTCCGCGACCTCGTGGCTGCGCTCCCAAAGTTGGGGCCGGCTTGGGCCGAGGCCCCGCAAGAAACCTTTTGGGGCTTAGAGGGCTTTAGGGCTTTAGAGCTTTCATCATAAGCTCTTCCCCGGGACAATCACCCAAGCCTGGATGCAAAAGGAACTTTAACCCAAACCTTCAATCAAAAGTCTTCCTGAAAAAGACGAAGAAGCACCCTGAGGATATTTTGAGATGTTGTTGCCTAAGCTGGCAAGGACTATGGGCTGTGTAAGGGGGTGTTAGAACTGCAATGCCCACTTGCTTGCAGCAATTCTGAACCACACATCGGCGATATTTGTTTGCTTTTTTCAAGCTTACGTCCGCGATGCTTGGCATTTTCCGCCTGTCAGAGACCACCTCCACCTCGACTTGTGTAGGCGCCGAACCTCGTGTACGTCACCATGATCTATGGCCAGAAGTTCAACAGGCCAGACGACCTTCAGCTACAAGCAAGCCGAAAACAGGGCAAACTGGGTGGCCAGTCATGTTGCTATGTTTATGTACGGGCATGCGGAAGCAACAAGCGTTGTGGAGCTTCGACGGACACACTGTTTTCCTGTTCCTGCAACAATCCAAGATGGCATATCAACCGCGATCTTCCTTTTCCATTTGCACGTCAAACCGTAGGCACTTGCGCCGCTTCTGCGCTCGTGCGCGATCATTGGGTCTCATCGGCGAGCGCCTGCTGCTCTTCACGTAGAGCTCCCAGTGATTTCTGAACGTCTGAATGTCCCTTTGACCGTTGAGCCTTCGTCATGTGCGTTTTTTGTGACTGAATCGGCCCTGTAATGCCGTTCAAGCATGGCATGCAGGGATTCAATCCATGTATCCTTGATGGAGAGATTGGCTCGTGATTGTTTGGAGTTCTTGAGGCTTTAAGCAAGCAACATGCATCACCCCCCTTTGCTCATGCATGTCTTGTGAAGCTCCTGAAGAAGCACTGGCAACAAACAGAACTCACAAACGAGGTTGGACCAGGAAGCCTTCGAAATGCTGGAACCCAAGTCCAAGACTAGGGGGAAGTGGAGCTCCACCATGGGCGACGGTCGACGTGGTCCTTGAATGGTTCGGAAAGAGACTTCCCGTGCGCATGGTCTGGGGTGGCCTGCTTTAACCTTCACCAAATGACCGGAAGAAGACTAATCAGAGCAGGGCCCCAATTTAAAGCCTATCTTTCCGAGCACTGGAAGTTCTTTGCAGCTCCATCGCTTCCGATGCCTGACTGCAGCACACGTTTGGAGGTGCTTGGTGGAAAATGGTCAGAGATGTGTCCGAGGATACATGGTCTCGGCACAAGTAGCTCATTTGTCCAGATTTTGTGGAAGAACTGGATGCAGATGAGTGTTACACGTGAGGCACTTCATGCCTTCATGCAGTGCGCAGTGCAGGAACCCCTTCGATCATGAACAAGTTCACCTTGCCTTTGATGTGTGCACATCTGGGGCTCAGCACTCTGTGCTGCTGGCATGCTTACGTACATGTACTTACCTTTCTACTGCTTCATTTCGGCAGAGCGCTTGCACGTGCAAGAGTATCCGACTTCGTGGGGCGTCACCGAGACGTGGCGCGACGCGTTGCGGGTCCGTAGATGTTCCCGTGAGGTGGATCGACTTGGATGTTTTCCTTATGGCCGACCCAACTCCAGCGGTTTTGGAGCATGCAGCGTCGGGAGCCCACACCGAGCCAGCAATAAGGCAATCAGCGATTGATAGCTCGAAAGGAGTGATGCCGCATAAGCGGCATAGGCCCCAGCGTAGCTGGTGTTAAATGCACCACGCGAACAGAGATTGCGATTCTTCCAGACCCCTGCTGCATATGTCGAGGCGCGGGCCGTACGACCTTCTGGTGTCGGGATCGTTTGAGGCCGGGCCAAGTTGTGGCCGGTTTTGCCGCGCATCGCAAGGGACAGCACCAGCGAGACCTGGACGTGGCTTTGCATCATTCTTCGTACATGGTATTCACAATATCTATCTCCATTCTTCGAATGCATCCGCATGCCGTCGGGTCAGGCAGATTGCATCTGCAACGGCATCGCTTGAGCCCCAAGTTGATGACACCTCGGGCTTCCCGAGGTGCTCTCCAGCCTATCCTACATTGTTGATGGTTTTCCGTGGTGTTGTGGTGTTCAAGTGATGCATGATTTCAATGTATCTGAAGGCGTTTAGAGTTAAAGACTCAAGCGATGTCAGGTTTACTTCCGCGCCACGCGTACCATTGTGGATTGGCTTCTGTCGGTGATCGCCGTGGCCACAGCAATGAGTCGGGAGGATCGGGAGGGACCTACGGCCCCGAGGCTTCGCCAATCTTCGCCATTTTGCCAAAGCACAGCAGCCATTCTCCAAGCACCTTAGGTTTGGATGTACCATCATCCCTACGAGCATGATCAGAAGAGACTCGACTGAAGCCTTGGCGAATAACGTTCTTGCGGGCAAGTGGCGGGCCCATGGCACGCTCCCCGCCACAAGGTGCCCCCGGAACTTAGCCTCGTTTTGAGAGTAAACTCTTAGAGGGGCGAGGTATGCCATCTCCAATCCATGGCCTTCAAAGTTGTTGTTGTTCGGGGTCTTGCACTAATTAAGGATGAACATCTGTCTGGGTGCAAGCTTCCGGCAGTCTTGAGAGGTCGGTTGAACTCTGCTATTGCCACAAATCTCTGCAGGCCAAAGGTCTCAAAAGGATGGACATCCACCTACTACCGAAATATCCCCATGTGTTGGAAACCGACCCGAGGACCTTCAGTGCGTTCCTGAACTACACGGAGAGGGTCACGAAGGAGTGGGCAACCACCACGGGATATCACGAGGGCGGGTCAAGCAGTGCGTTTGGACCTTGTCAGTGATGGAAGAGAGGCAAAGTTCTGAGTTCTGACCATGTGATGCCGAGAGAGGGAGCTGCATGCGCAAATTTCAGCCACACACACACACACACTCGCCCCTGCGACGCCACTCTTGCAGTGGACCTTTCGGTGACCTTCATTGGGTTTCGCTTTGTCATTGGCTTTATTGCGGAGGCAGCCATCAATGTTACTCGTACCGGCCTGCATTGTCAGAGTCGTTGTTGTTACACATTTCCGGTTGTCCAGCAGGTGTTGTGTATCCCTCCCTCGCTTTGTCTGCTGGGTTGAGTACTGCTTGCCATGTTCCTGGCTACTCCGTGATGGCCAGGACGACCTCGATTTGCCGCAGATTCCGCCGTGGGCCATTGTCTCGGTCCCCGAAGCCACAGAAGCCTTATGCTTCTCACCTCGTTTTCTGCAGAAGCTCAGGACACCTTGGATCCAATCAACCAGTTCGTAACGCCCGACACCTTCGAGGGGAATGGGTGGCATCTCGGCAAGAGCCTGATGAGTCAGAAGCTAAATGCTTGTTATTCAGACACAACCTTAAACAACGACGCACAAGAAGTGTATCGCAAATTCACCAGCCCCCTCCCTGCGATGCATTGCTGAATCATGTTTTCCGAATCTGTTCTTTGCATGCCTGGACGAGTATCGTTGAGATGTGGCAATTCGTCAGCTGCCTAAAGCCAAGCTGCTCCGAAGGACTGGCGACTTGGACAAGATCCTGATTTACCACTTCCTGAATGGCCTCTTGGCCGTTTTTTCTCCCTTGTTCGCAACGGAGTCGACATGTATTGCCTTCTCTGCACCAGCTCTGGGCATGCGTGCACCACGCAGACCTTGGCTCGATCCAGCTGCCAGTGATACAGAAAGCTGGGCCAAGAACATGGCAGTGGTGCATGTTCACTTGTCGAAGACACGGCCGAGACTAAGACAAAATCATTGAGGTCAGTGGTGCGTTGTAGATCCGCTAGTGGATCCCAGTAGCCGAGGCCCATCGTCTCCAGCCCGCGGGGTGCCATGTCCTCGCTCCTTGCGAAGTGCCGACCATATTTCCAGCGAGCTGAGGAGCTCGCTGAGCATGAGTCGGCTGTTGCTTACTACTGCCGCCTACACGCCATCGAGTTGTTGATGCGCGCGCACCAGAAAGGCGAGACCTCGCCCGAGGAAAAGACACTGTTGCTCGGAGAGCTGCAAAAAGCCGAAGACATCAAGAAGTCACTCAACATCTCAAGCAGCGATGGACAAGGCACGGTCGAGTCCTTTGCTTTGCGGGTTTTTGATGCTGCAGATGCGGCAGACAGATCTGCAAAGGACAAGAGTGGCCAAGCAGCTGCAGTTTCCAAGCTCTACGCAGCGGCTCTTTTCATGGATGTTTGCGCCCAGTTCCACGATGGAGAGCTCCCTCCAGATCTCGCTGAAAAAGCTCGTTATGCCAGATTCAGAGTTGTTCAAATCAGGGAAGGATTGAAGCAAGGGGTCCCCTCTTATCCCGCTGAGCCAGAGACCACGGCAAGCCTGCCTGCACCTTCTGGCTACTCAGGGAGCTCGGCACCTGCTCCAGCCGTCCCAATTCCCGTGCAGCCAAGCTCCGCAAGCGCCGCAAGCTCTGCAACGGCTCAGATGCCAGCGCGTGACGAGGCCCGCAAGCAGTTGGAGTTGGCCTCATCGGCCTTAGACTTCAGGGATGTTGCAACAGCTCGGACATGCTTGGAAGAAGCTTTGCGGCTCCTCGGCTGAGAATCTTCACCGCTTGTCCCCCCACGCCACACTTTGCACAGGAAGGCCGGGAGAAGCAAAAAGCCAAGAAACAGCTGAGTTCCGCACACCTCCAAGTGCCCTTTGGACGGTATACAGGGCACTTGGAGTTTGTAGTCTAGAGTGGCCTGTTAGTTGCGTCGCGCTCATGCGAACGGTTCGCTGGATTGACTTCTTTTCCTGATGGAAGATCCCCACAATTTCTACGTGTAGAGTAATGAAATGCACGCGCCAGGTGAATCAGATACAGGGTCTGGACTTGATCCCAGCGGCACATGGCTGCCGCCTTAGCATGCAAAGCCCCAAACTTGTTCGGAATGGTGCAGCCGCAGGGAAGGAAGGTTTGGTCCAAGGAAGCTAGTTGACTGAAGTGCGACCATTTGTCACTTGCACGGCCAGCTTTTTCCTGAGCGACTGTTTGGCATAATTTATCTTGTGTGGCCGGAATGGTCTTGATAAGCTGAGCTCGCCTCCGACCCATTCCGCTTAAACTAGCGCGTGGTTGGTGTGGTTGATGCAGCAAACCCTCACGTAGTACCCTAAACCGCCATAATTAAGTGTGAGAGTGAGCGTGGAAGATGAATCAGGATGCGGCAGCATGGGCATTTCACCGACGCGGGCGGCGCTGCCCCGGGGACGCTGAGGTTAAACTTTGGTTGCTATGGCCAGTTGCTGACAACGGATAGGACACTTATAGGACATGAGGTCAGAATCATGAAAGTCTGGCTTGCGATTGAAAGCTTTTGAGCTGGATGGGTACCTTCGATGTTTAAAAGGTACATATCTTGTCCATCAGATATGTCCCGCACATTGCCAACGATTGTAGTCTTCACGCTAACGCGCCCCGCCTCGGCGCGGCCGGCTTAGGCGACCAAAGAACGGAAGATCCACAGCTCACATGAAGTCCATACAAGGTCGGTCCAACGCCCCTCGAAAAAAGGAGCCTCGATGTTCCCAGGAGACCAGGAGGTCCAAGCGACCGCTTAAACAAGGGTGGCTCAAACAGGAAGGATGATGGGGTCCAGAGTCCAGAGGTTTCGATTGGAATGTCCAGAAAAGGTTTCTTTGGGTCAACAGGTGTCAGGTACATAGGCAGTCTGGCACCCCTGTTCGTAGGGCTTTGCAACAAGGGAGGACAGGCTCAGGCGGTTCCCGGCACAATTTTCCGGGGCACTGACCGCTTGCTTCAATAGAGAATCTATAAGGAGTCCGTGGAAGGCCTGTGTGTGTGTAGGGACTTCATATAGGGAATCCCACAAGAGGGCCAAGCGAGACCTATGATAGGTCCATAGCGGCCTTTTGGCGAGAAATAGTTGAAGCCCATAGACGAGGGTCCTCAGGGGCTCCATAGGGAGTCCGTAGGCCCACGAAAGGTCGTCCCCCGGTCCCTCCCTTTTCAAGTCAAGTTGTTTTGGCTTGTGTGAGCTGACGTCAGTGAGGCGGATACAGGAAGTGGGTTGCTCTTTTGCACGAAATGCCTGAGTCCTTGGGCCTCGATGGATGTAAAGGAGACCCGAGGCCTGCTGTCGTACTTCGACGTCGTCTTCTGTCTTCTGTCTGATGCCAGCCAAGGAAATGTGAAGGCGAATCCTGCTTGTCGGGCAAGGCCGGCTGGCCCATTGTGACAGGTTGTGGCTGTCGGTGTCATCACCACAGCTATTGGATTACTGAAGGTGAGAAGAGCACTTGGAGCAAACGCAAGGCACGTTTTGCATGGCATGGCATGTCGTCGAAGGTCAGTTTGATGGACTTGTTCTACGGGCAGGAGGACTGCAACGCCTGACATGACGTGTTCGCTTCCGCTTCTTCCAAACCTTGAGCACTATGTGGTTTGCGGATGTTCACCGTTCAAGCACAAACATGTCGAATGTCGAGATCGTTCCCTTACAGCAGATTTCTGCTTTGAGAGATATGAAGGAGGAGCTGTACACCACTGCCAAGCCTGCCTACGAGAACCAGGCAGGGGCCCAGGGATAGAGGCCTCTTAGGCGGACTCTTTGATTTCTTCGTGAGCCTCGGCCTAGAAATCGAATTCCAGGTGCTTCGACGAGCGCTCCTCTCCTCTCGCAAGGCGGCACTTGCTACGGCCCCCTGTGACCGACAGAGCCCTTGCCAGTGTGTTGCGGCAGGCAGAACGCAGCACGAAACTCCTTGGCCGCCCGTGCGGGCCGATGGTGTCTTGACGAGGATGATTTCTGGTCATCGGATTGGTACATGTTGATTCTGGCAGCTTGCGTGGTCACTGCATGTCATTGCTCTGGAGTTGGAACTAAGAAAATAAGATATTTCTAAGGAATACTGTAAGGTAAATCTGTGCTTTACTTTCCTCAGGCAGGACCCCATGGCCGAGGGGGCGGGTTAATCGTGAATCTGATGGTGTTATTCACCTCATCCTACATTACACGTTCACGCCCATGATGCACCTGCCAAGCTCCCTACCCCTCAACTTGAAATCGTCGAAGCATGAATCAAAGACAATGAACCTGCTTTTGCCTGCCTATCCTCTTCGCCGAGGTTGGCTGGGAATTCGAGGTCAGGGCTGCAATCGGCACAACTGCGCATGGTGATGGTGATAGTCTCCCAACGTGACTGTATCCAAGTGCTGTTTCAATGCACTTTGCTCGTTCGTGAACATGCTGCCGCTGGTGGCAGGCCCGCAAAAAGCTTTCCCCGGAGCTTGTCCAGGCACTGCATGTTTCCATGTTGCGGGACGTTCCTTCGCTTCCTTCACAGAGGCCAAATCTCAAGCTGTCGACCAGCACGTTGCGAAACATTGTAGTTATGCCCCCAAATAGAGCAAGACCCTGCAAGACAAACCCAGGACCATCCACGACCCTTCCAAGAAACACTCTTAGAAATACGAATTTTTGCTGCAGGAGAGGCTGAAAGTGGCCAGGCGGGTCAACATTTTTTTTTGCTGTCCGAGCATAGCTGCTAGCATGTCAAAAGGCAATGACAGCGGTGATCGATCCTCGAGTCGGCTCGTGTTCTGGACGCTGCAAAACATGTGCACCGGTAATGGCATTCAAAACTGGAGGCAGCGGACTGTCCAAGTAGTGGCCACGCTCGTGGCCCAGTTTCCGAATGGATGCCCAGCACCACAACTGAGACCTGTGGCTTAAACTCGCCACCTCACACATTACAATCATTACAACATGCGAACAAAATCATGTCTCACGTTTTTTTTTTTTTTTTTCTCTCGCGCTCTCTCTTCTCTCTTTGTGAGCGTGCGTGCATTGTGGGTGGGTGTGCTGTGGGCAGGTTCGCGGGCGCGTGGGCGGGCGTGTGGGTGGGTGGGTTGCACGGTGCGCGGGCTTGCACGGTGGGTGGGTCGGCGTGCGTGTGCGTGTTTTGCATATGCGTGTTTTTGTTGGATGTTTTGTCGTACATACATTATCTCTCTCTGGTTTGGAGGTAAAATGAGTCCGCTGCGTTTTTGTTGCTTTCTCTTTCACTTGACATGCAAATATGTCTTCCGCATCTTGAATCTATGCTCACTTGTGCCATAGTTATATGTGCTCGAAGTATTTCGACTATTTTGTCGTAGCAAAAGAGGCTTGCCATGGCAAGTTTTGTAGGGGATGAGGGTGGGCTGGATGGGACACTCACCTTCGGCGAGGAAGTAATTATGTAATAATTAATTAAATAATAAGTAATCAATTAATAATTAATACTTAATGAATAATTAATTAATAACGACAAAATGAGTTAATAATTAAATAAATAATTAATCAAGAATGCATTATAAATTAATTAATCGTGGAAAATCGCGGACATTAGTTAATAAATAATTAATACTTAAATAATAATTAATAATTAGTAATTAGTAATTAGTAATTAATAATTATTAATTAATAATTATAATTAATGAATTAATTAATAATTCATAATTAGTTCATATTTAATAATTAATTAATAATAAATCAATTGATAATTATTACGTAACCACTTAATAATTAACTAATCATCAATTAACAATTCATTAATACTATTAATGATGAATCATTAATGAATATTGAATGATAATTTATTGATAATTAGTTAATAATTAATTAATTATTTAAAAGTACTGAATTAATAATTAATTCATAATTGAATATAATTAATTAATAATCAATTAATAATTAGTTAATAATTAATACTTAATTGGTAATTAATTAATTAAGAATTAATCAATCATTAAATAGTAAATAATTAATACTTAGTTTTTATTATTTAATAACTAATTAATAAACAATTAAGTGATAAGTAAAAATTCAATAATTAAGCAGTTAAGAATTAATGGGTTTAGGTTAGAGTTTACCGTTTAAGGATAAGGTTTAGGAAATTACGGTTTAAGGTTTAAAGGTTAGAATTTAAGGTTTCGATTTTAAGTTGTAAGGTTATCGCTACTGGCCAGCGAATTAATTGTTAATTATTTGTCAATGAATTAATTGAATTAATTATTAATGAACAATTAATTACTTCATGATTAATGAATGATTAATGAATTAATTAATTATCAATAATTAATTCATAATTACTAATTAATCAACAAATTAATAAGTAATACAGAAATAAATTAACAAGTAATTAATAATCAAATTATAGTAAACCATGAAAAAAACTATTAATCAATAATGAATTAATAATTAATGATTATTTCATTAAGACTTATATGCTGTTGCAAATCATGCTTAGGCTCCTCTGCCACCCCTAGGGGTTGCAGCAGGGCTATAAAGATGCCGAAAACTGGAAAACCAAACACAGCCAAAACCAACAAAAAACCAAAAACTGAAAAACCAAAAAAAACAAAACCAAAAAAACCAAAACCAAAAAAACCAAAAAAACAAATTTTGAGGAACTTTTCGATGTAAGGGCTGATAATAAGCCACTTCCAGGAGTTCCCCAAAATTGGTTTTTTTGGTTTTTTTGGTTTTTTTGGTTTTGGTTTTTTTGGTTTTCCAGTTTTTGGTTTTTTTGTTGTGTGGGTATAATGAGTTCGCCGCGAGAAAGCAACAAAAACGCAGCGGGCTCATTTTACCCCCAAACCCTCTCTCTCTTTCTCTTTTTGATGAGTTTTTTCATCCACTCAACATCTCTTTCTTTGTTTGTCACCTTTCGTCTACGTCAAAGATATTCAAAGATCAAGAAGCACATGCGCACGCATAGAGGCATGCAGCACTTGGCAATCCAATTGTGACATCCTTGTCGCCCTTCATTGGGCTCATGGGCAACAGTTCTGCTCATGGCCATCGGATTCTACTTCGAAGTTGTGACCCGAGGCATTCCCAAGCGCGGACAGAGCCTCATGATACTCCGAGGAAAAGCAGCCATCGATCATGCTGAATCGATTCACCGACGTATGCTCGGCTTATGAACAAGGTCAGGTAATGATGGCTAAGGGACTGCTACATTGATTGCTACAGGCCACATACACACATATGCAGCCTCGGCCCTGGCAGTTGACAAGTCTTCGGTGCGACGCTCATCCGATCATGTGCATAGCTTCAGCTTCTGCTCCTGGCATGGATTCGCATGGTAGGGATTTTCTGAAAGCCTCATTGCTTTTGAGAGTCTTCGGCAGTTGAAGCAGCAGCGGAGTAACAAATCCTCACAAAAAAATAGAATGTAGGCGGACATGGGTGGTGCAACGGCGGCCGGCTGCAACATTCTTGACCATGGCCGGGTCGTCTGGCAGCCGCGGATCATGCTGTGACATCTGCAATGAACGGCTCATCTCCCCTGTTGTGGTCCTATCGCTGCATGGGCTGATCGTGACGGACGTGGCATGGTACAGGACAGAGCTGTGGCAAGATGACAGCCTGTGGTACCGCAGCTTGCGGCTGCTTGTGCTGCTGACCGTGGTGTGCTACCTGCGCACCTGCTTGACGGATCCGGGGTTCCTGCAAGTGGGTGCCCAACCAGTTCATACCCCCTGCTGCAGCACGCGTGGATGTATGTTACTGTGCTGCGCTGCAGCCGTGTCTCTCAGTGAATGGAAGGGAGGCTCCAAAGAGGGCAAACCGATCATGTTGCTTCTCTGAAATGTCCACATTGCATGGTTTGATATCACGTTTGATATCACGTCTTCCGTCGCAAGCTGCGTCGGGATGCTGGGACCTCAGGCTGCCAGATGTTGTGGGAGCTGGCTTTCCAAATGCCGGCGAGACTTGTCTGCGTTATCGCCACCTTTGCTAAATTGGTTGGACAGTTCAATGACAGTCGTCGTGGTCGATGCGGTTGGTCGATTGAGCTATCAGCTACTGGTATCAGTTCTGTCGCGATGGCAGGAAACCAACATCCATCCCGTGGGCGCTGCGAGTTCCAGCCAGCCGCTGGATCGCGGGGGAGGGAGTTTTCACGTACCGTTCGACACCGCTGAGCAGAGAAGATGCTTCAGTTGCAGGACTTCGACTACGACGTTCGTTCCTGAGCTTGCTGGGCACATGCTGCAGAGAGAGATATGTACATATGTCTATAATGTAGGGAGCCGGGGTGGGTAGGTTATGGGGGGAATGGGGTCGGGTGTTAACAATATAGTTGTACCAAGCGAAAGAAATTCATGCCATGGACCGCTTCGTTCCCGCGAACACGGTATTTTTCCATCTAGAATATCCAATAAAGGACCAACGAAGTGAATCATACTATCGCGGACTAAAACTTTAACTTGAATTTTCAAATGCCTGCGGCATAATGCTATTATTACTGTGCCGTTCACACATTCACTTCGCTCAGTAAATTCGCTGCCTTGTTCACTCACATGTTCACTAATTAAAAGCCTTTTGTCTATTGCAAGTTAACGCACGAATGAAGGCGCTTAATGAACGGGGGCAGGGGGAGGGGGTAGGAGGGGGTTGGGGGTGTGCATTGTCAGGGTGGTGTGGGTGAAATGGGGGGCGGGCAGGCTGGAGGCTCTTTCACTTTCCTCGAAGAGGTTGGGCAGGTGACAGGCTGGAGTGCTGCCTCCGAGCATCAGATGTGGAGTCCGTTGGAGTGCAACTCTCCAAGGAGGGCATCCTGAAAAGACGAGGACACGCGGAAGACTTGGAAGCGGAAAACCCGGAAGGCGCCAATCTGACTGTTAGGAACAAATCCTGCTTCCAGTCGCAGCCGAGACGTGTATAGTTATAGTTGGTGCAATAGAGATCGCACGTGCTCAGGAACGCAATTGCGTTGGTGCAAGCGCTGTCATCTACACCAGCCACTGCGGACAAAGCACTGTCACGACACCTTGGCAGCCAGTGGCAAGACATGTCTGTCTTTCACACAGTTCATTCATTCCTAGTTCCGCTGGTCCGAAGATTCACAAGGTACCCAGAAGTAAGAAGCTTGAACGGGATTGAACTGGAGTTTCGCCAAGGACTGCGGACGATGCGTGCGCACGCACGACCACCATTGCCCTTGGATTGGGAGCTGCGTAGGCTAACCTGGAATGTTGCAGTCTTTGCTGGCACTTTGGTTGCGCCCCCCCACCCCCTCCCCTCCCTCCCCCCCCTCCCCTCCCTCCCCCCCCTTCCCTCCCCTCCCCTCCCCCCTAGTTGAGGGTTAGGGTGAAGGCGAATTCGGTTTAGGAAAGCAGGGGGAGGGCGAGAACGCAAAGCGCACAACTATATATGGGTGTTGAATGGTGTTGATCTGGAGGTCCTCGTAAGGAAAAGCGAGATTTCCCGAGTAACGCGTGAGTTTGCCCTGCATTTGCAGCACAAGGCATGCAAACTGCAACAACGCAACCTTGCAGTTCTCCATGGCTCCGAAGAACTCCCGGAGGGTAGATCCGTGCTGCCTGTTCAAGAACGTAACAAACTGCAGGACTGTAGGGTAAAGGCTCAGAGGTACGCGCGATGAACTCGCGCGAAAGGAACTCTTATGGTTGCAAATGTATCCTCAACTTCGATCGGCTGCCACATGTTCCTGAAAGATGCCCCTGCCTTTCTTTCGTTCATCGCAGGCGAGAACAACCGAGTGCTGTTCTTCTGGTATCTCTTGTTGCAATGCGCCGAGCTCGCCGCCACTTGGACACGCGATTTAGTTGTTTATTATTCCATGGCAGCTATCTCTTAGATGGAACCTTAGGCGCAGAGTTTTGAAGCTTAGAGAATATGTTGGCTCCATCCCCCCCACCCCAATTTTGAGCCCGCACAGTCTATTGTTGTTGCGGGGTTGCATCCATACCTTCATTTTGCTCTTGCACGGAAAGTCGGTGGCAGGACTGGTCTCCAATCACACTTTTGCCATCGCTTCAAACAAAAGCAACTGAGCCCTGCGAGCAGACCTGAGAGCCAGGGGCACACTCACAAGCTCGAAAGTTCCCACAGTTTGGCAGCTGCACCCTGAACCCTAAACAGGGTTTAGGGTTTAGGGTTTAGGGTTTAGGGTTTAGGCTAAACTCTAAACCCTAAATCCTAAGCTGTCCTGGACTCCGCAGCAAGCTACATTTCATGGGTCACATCGCATTGCATGGTGAGGCCTTCTTCTACGAAGGCATTCAGGGCATCTCCTTGCTGGAGCCCAGTGTGGTTTTGCTCGTCCCGTGGTGATACTCTGTATATATATATATGCGCACATAAACATATAAATAAATAAACAAATATATGTATATATATATATATATGCATTTATATATACTGTATAGTATAATGCATAATCTCATATCTATATACATGGACCAGCACGGTAGAGTTCAGAACGAAGTTTGTTGGTGCATCTGGAAGCCAAGAAGTATTGCTCCACACCAAAAACACAGGTCGGGGCTGCGACTTAGCCGAGGTTGGTCTCATTTTCATAGCTGTCTTCTTCCTAATGGCGCCTCAGCTCAGACTTTCAAAGTTTGTCAGCGTGTGGCTGTCTCCGCTTGCAGCAAAGAGCCAGCATTGATGCTTGCAGGTTAGCTGTTTGCTTTGCTTCCACACATTCCTGCTGCTCGCGAACCTGACAACCTGGGAACATATCTCCTGGTGGCAAATCACTTACTTGAGCCTTGCCCTGTACTTGGAACGACTGTAGGCGCTTGAACTTCTAACGACATTGAACTTCAACGTGCAACTTATACCGTGCAATTCCAGTCATGACAGCATGCCGAGGAAGCCGCTGAAGGCTGACAATGGCTCGCCATTCTCCCGCCTCTTCGTCACAAGAGACGCAAAAGACATATGCTCATAGATTTGATTTTTCGCCCTGCATTGGGGTTTGCGCATGTTTTGTCGACCAGCAAGCGGTAACGTATGGACTTATGGACGGAAGCGCGTTGAAGCGCTCTCCGGAAGTGCGGAGGCTCCATTGCCTGGAATGCAGCTGCCTATTGCTGTGGCTCGTTCTGGTGTCCCGGTGGCATTGAACATTAGTATAAGGAGATTGATGTGATTCTTCACTGTTTTTGACGTCTCTGAGTGTCAGCAATATTGCCAAATCGGCTTCTGAGTGACGGGCGTTGGCATTGTCAGCATATCCCGTGTACTCTCCACACGCTTGCAGTCCAGTCGGCATCATCAGCACCAGCTAGACTACCAATGCCTTGTCGAGTCCATCGCGGCAAAAATGTCAAGCGGGCACAGGGAGAGCTTGCTAAGAGCAAAACTTGTGCAAGTGGCAGGAGTACCATCATGGCACTGAGCAAGAAACAGCAAACAAACAGAATTCAACCAAACCAGCAACTGTGGCCCAGGTGCCCTGCGCCGCTGAGGCGTCTTGCCTCGCTTCGCTACTCCGAGGAGCCGTTCAATCAGTGCAGTTTGCGGGCCTATTTGCTGTGGTATTTCTTGGTTGCAGGTGCGGGGGCTTATGTAATTCTGCGGCTGCTGCTGCTGATGCTGCAGCTGCTGCAGCAGCAGCAGCAGCAGCAGCAGCAGCAGGAGCTGCAGCAGCTGCAGCAGCTGCAGCAGCAGCTGCAGATAGCAGGCAACATATCTGCTCGTAAGAATTCGTCATAGTTGCCTTGAACTTCGCACGGGAGAACCACGATTCCCATCTGTTCCACCAGATGTGAGTTCACAGGCCTCTAGTGCACCTCTGTGTGTCGGGAGATGGCTGGCGGGCTCTACAAGTAGGGCTGGCTTACTGGCATTACAAGGCGATCTGTCGCGGAACAGAGGGGTTTGGATACAGGTTTTTTTAATGAGACCACTTCGTGAAGTGTCCACGCAGCAACACCAGCCTTTGTGACCACTCAGTGGTCAGCCAAACCCAGCAATCTCTTGGGGAAACAATGTGCAGCCAGGTGCCCGTCTGAATTAGGGGCGCCATTCGCCATAATCGAAGTTGGAGACTTCGCGTTTTTGTCGGCCTGGCATTCACGTGGCGCTTGTCATTGCTCGCATTTCGGTATCCTTGTGTCTAGCTTCTCTATGAACAACAACTCTCCGTGGTTTTGCACCGGTGTTGTGTTACCAAACTGACTTCGACGGACGTTGGCGCGCGGGGATTTCCAACGCAACTCCGGCCCTCACGCCCAGCAGAAGAAGAAGAAGAAGAAGAAGACAGGGAGAGAGTGCATTTTGTGTCTTTGATTGAAGGATTTGAGAGAGGTTTGGACTCCGCATCCCAGCCAAGCCTTGCACAGATAACGAGACATGGTAAGCCTGCCTGCTGACCTTTCACATGCTTATATGGACTTCAAGCGCAATTTCTTGAGTTCACATACCGTGTCAATCATTGAAGATGCCGTACCATGCGGGTAGATGCTGAGAGGAGGGCGGCATCATTTGGGAAATGCTGCCGGGCCGCAGTTGCTGAGTCTACCTGTGTAGTCTGCCATCCTCTGCTTGCCTGCTAATGACTTGGTCTGCTGCCTCATTCGGATGTGGCACAATCGAGGTCCGAGCAACGTGGCATGTGCTTTCTGCTCGCATGCTGTGCGGATTGCTGTTGAGCACGAAAAGTCATAGCATCGGAAGCCCTTCAAGCTAACAAGCTACTGTTCCATGCGCCCTATCAGAACACAATTTCGGTGCCCCAGCCCTTCGATGAACCTGATCCTTCGGCCGACTGGGCTTAACAAGCTCACGTGTCACCACATGTCACAAGTGAAGCCAACTGAATCAAAGGTTGTTATCGTCATGATTCGATGCGTAGCCACCGACTAAGCTACTAAAGCACGGCAGGCCCAATGTATGAGGACAGCAAGCACATCCAGAATAAAAACGTGTGATCTTGATTGGAAGCCCATGAAACGCCATGAAGAACGTCACTGTCACGTCCGCTTGGAGATCGGGATAGACAAGGGATTGGGACGCATTCAGTTTGCTGTCGTCCCAACTCAACCGCACACGGCACAAACACCCGCCAACCTTAAACCCCTCAACCTAGTAACCTGGCAGCCTGCCCCATTGCTCATGGCCACGTCTGCGGTGCCACGAGTCAGGCACGGAGTGGGTTTGGGAAGTTTTGGTATGCTGGTGCTGAATTATCTTGCAAACCTGCAGAGAGAACACGATGGGAATCCAGACCTCCGGATTCAGACACGCTGTCAAATTGTATATCAACGTATGCAGCCCGAATTGGCCACAGCATGTTCCAATTTCAGTTTCGGCAGTGGTCAAGCCATGAAATCGAATCTGCGGAAGCTGGTTTTAAAGTATTTCAGTGACTTTTGCTGTGATGGAGAGGCCGGTGGCTAGCTTGAGCGCGCGGCAAACGTGCAGAGCTTACACTTCGTACCCTCTGCCCTATCGAAGCAGGAGTGCCTGCTAGCAGGCACTGGCAAAGAAACTGTGCAGCATCTTCCACCTGAGGCCTCCCCTCATCCCAGCGACCGATGACGGGGAGTTGGAGAGGTTGCCGCCTGCCTGCAAGAAGCAGCTTGGTGACGCAGCAGAGTGCTGTGTTCATTTCAAGCTAGCTGCTGCGCCACCTCGTTTCTCTTGACTCACAGCCTACTGCACCTTCACCTCGGAACTTCTTTGGGGATGTAGTTGGTCAAGCCTCTACGAAACTTGAGCACATCTATGCTCAAGGTCCGCCCTGCGCCGGCTGTCGAGCTCGAAGTCCGAGTCTAGCCTCCGAGTCCGCACCCCGCAGCACCTCAGCGGAAGAGCCTACAAAAGCTCTCAGTGAGTGCTGTGTCTACGTCCCTTGGGTTCACCCTCAGTCACCAGTCCAGATCGTTCGGGATATGCGAGGCTCAGGCCTGAGGCTGACGCAACTCAACACGTTTTCTTTCTGTGCCATTTTGTGATTGAGTCAGAGTTGTCGGTCCTCTGATGCCTTTGCGCATTCCAGTTGCAGTTGGCAACTTGGTGCTGAGAAGATGTTCCGCAGACTTTCCTAGGCGATTGGGATCGCCCCTTGTGGTGGTGCAGACCTCACAGGAGCCGATGCTTGGACTTCAAGTCAGGTGATTGCTCGGCATCCAGTCGTGGTTCCATTCTTGCGTGGAGAAGGCAATGCGAAGGCTTCAGTTTATCTAGAGTCTAGAGGGCTGTAGTCGCTCCCCTTAGACTGAGATTGGCCGATTCAAAGCCGGTTTTGCCCGACCATTGCATGTTTGATCGGGGCTAATTGCTTTACTGTAGCAACTGAAGCCCAAGGCGAAAGAAAGCTCCAACCTCACGGGCGGCAAAAGCATCCCAAACCTTGAGTTTGTTTGCGCTACTTGAGCAAATCTCTTGGTCATTCGTGGTCGTCCAAGGGTTCAACGCAAGCCGACACTCAGCGCGCGATCGCGGTCAAATTCAGGGCCCTGCTCCCAGCATTACCCGTCGACTTCACCTGTTTCAACATTGCACTGACTGGTTCTTAGTAGGCAATGAGGGAATTGGGTACCTTGTATCCCTCTACACACTACCCGACTACCCTTTAAAGGAATATATTTCTGGTACCTAACTCCTTCATTCCCTTCAAGAGCCAGTAATCAGTAAGATTAGTCATCAGAATCGAGGCGTTTGAGCTCACCGCCGGATGACGTCGAGCAGCCCCGGGCCCTTCCGCCTTGTGTCTTTTTGACTTGCTTTCGGCTTGTGCTGTGCTCTTAAAGAACGCTAGGCCCTAGGCCCCTAGGCCCCTTGGGCTTGCAGGTTGTATCTTGTGCCCTTGCAGTAGCTAACGTCCCACGCAGGAAACGTGTCCCGTGAGCACCTTGTTCACCGTGGTTCAGGACCGCCAACTTGATGCAGTTCATGCTGCCCTAGCAGAAGTGGCCCCAGCATCGCCGAAGTCCTACCGGAGAATTCCGTCCGAAAAAACCACGAGTACAAAGGATAACATACAAACCATTCTCCGCTCCACTTCTCACATTCTCACATGGTGGGACCAGGACATGATGGCACTGAAGTACGGTGTTCAGCTCGATGAGTTCGACTTCGTTGGCAAAGCCAAGGCCGTCACAACCGCTGTTTGGTTGAATCGTCCGTGTGCCCACCCCCACCCCCCAACAAAGTGGTGTTTTAGACAGCTCGATTTCAGTAAGGCGGCGTCCGTTCCCGACATGGCACAAGCTCTTTCATTAGGCAGGTATTTGGCACAATCCCGAATTCGCATTCCCCAATGGGCAGAGTTCCACAAGTGCAAATGGCGGCAGTGCAGACTAGCAGTGGGTTCATGCTCAGCTGACCACCGACAAAAAGCTGCGGGCTCAAAAAGCCAATCTGTAGGACTTAATTGCGCATTTTTCGAAGGAGATGTATGATAGGGGTGGCAAGCAGCTGCAGCAAGTATTGCTTCGCTCAACTAGCCAAACGCTACATCAGACCAACAGCCCGCAGCAATTAGCCAGTTTCAAACGCAAGCATTTTTGCATATCGTTGTCAAGAGCTGCAGATGCATGCGATAGGATGCGCTGCCATGAGATTACCCGGCTACACGCATGCTGACAACACAAACCATAGATCTAGACATCTTTAGATGTCGATCGGCCCAGTTTGATTGCTCGACTCTATTGGTCTACGGAGTAGCGTGCCACGTGGCCCACCCATGCATTGGTGATCATTGGTGGACAACCAGTTGGCTCCAATCAGTTGACTCCAGTGCGGCGGCGATGGGTGGCTTGTCTGCCTTCACTGTAGCCGGAAGACATCGAACCAGCACAAGCAGTTTGCTGGGTTTCACTCCCTCCTTTCTTGTGCTACAGTACCAGTGACAACTGCTGATCTTTGTACCCTGAGGTGTGGATCTCGCCACCGCAGGAGTTAACGCCACCATGGAGGCTTGCCTCCAAAGTGAAGTTGCATCGCCTTGATGACATCTTCAAGGGTGTTGGAGCTGTCTACTGTATTGTCGACCATGTAACATCGTGTAATCAGGCCGTTCTGGGATCATTTCCAGAGCTGGTCGAGATGGAGGGCGGCGTCGACGCTCGATCTCATTGCCCGGATGCTTCACCGTAGCGGTCAGACACGCGTAGTAGTGCTGTTGGAACGCGTGCAGTCAGCGGAGAGCGAAGAGTCACGTTTCGACTCAGGCACCAAAGAAATCCTTGGCATGGCTGTGGCAGACGGTGGCCGCATCTGGGGCAAAGAAAAGGGAGCAGGTGATTGCCGAAAAGCTATATGGTGACCCAAAGGCTTGAAGTGCAGAGCTTGGAGTCGTAAGACGCGCGCCTCACCAAGGCTACCTGCTGCTGGGCGTTGAGCGACGTGATTTGCGCGGCTCAGTCAAGCACCATTGTAGTAAGGGCGCATGGGATTTCACATGTTGCGGCAGAGAGAGCAGCTTTTGGGCCTCGAGCTCACTCACCAGTGTGACTCCAGTGGACCGGAATGGACGTCATGTAAATGTTAGACTACCTTGAAGCAGCTCTAGCTCTAACTCTCTCTCTCTCTCGCTCGCTCTCTGCTGTCGCCATGCAAGAGCTGAACGAACATTGGCCAGTGCATCAGCCGACCCGAGGACGCTTGCATTCGTCCGCCCGATACAGCCCATGAGACAACCGATGTGGATACGGTTGAGGCTTGGACACAAGAAAATTCCGAAAGCGACTTTGCGAAACGCCGTACTAGTCGTTTCAAGTACCGGCACCGATAGGTGCAGCCGAGCACAAGTTCAAGCCCCGCTCCAGAGCCGGCAGCGCTGCGCCGACGCCGGCCCGAGGCGCTAGGCCGGTCCAATCTGATTGAAGGAAAAGGGAGAAGTTTCGATTGTTTGCATGGCTTTTTTCGATTACAAGTTGAAGGTGATATGGAGCTGCATATGGTTTTCCTTACTTTGCCTTTCGCACCTCTCTTTCAAGCTTGGGCAGGCAAAGATAAAGCTGCACACAAGATCGGACACGTGCTTCGTGCGATGCTGAATGCACGTAAAAAGTCTTTAAAAAGACGCATCTGACAGGTGAGGCAGTGGAGACTGAGACCAGGGAGGCCAAGGCCAGGGTTTCAGATGCTCGACTTGCTTCCGAGCTAAATGCTCCTTTTGCCCCGCTTTCCCACGTGTTTGAATCATGAAAACACCAATCAGCACATGCAATGCAACAAAAAAAGCTCACCCACAGTCGTTCTAGAAGGCTCGAACCACGTCGCGGCAGCAGCCCAGCATTCCCTAGCAAAACCATGGCGGCAACCTTGAACGTCTTCGCGCAGCCTGGCTGTGGCAGGCAGCCCGGGCGACTAGCCATTTCGATTCCAGAAGTCGCCGAGGGCTTGGAAGATGACCGAGACATGTACTACCCTCCCGAAGCTGTGCAAGTGAGAAATACTTTCATCCATGTGGCAAGCCCGGCTGCGCCAGAGGGTGCATACCGAGCATCATTGACATGTCCTGCCTCGCACGTGGGCCTCATCCAGCAGACGATGAAGGAATGGCAGGATGACGTGAAGCCCGCCGAGGGCAAGCCAGTCATATGCCTAGAGGACGCTCTCTGTGGTGGCGCAGACATTCAGATGCCCTGGCCGTGTCACATGCAGAGCCCACAGATGGAGCCGCCAATAGCAGCTCCCCTTGTACCAGCACCGGGAACGTCGGAACTTCCTAGCGTGGGATCCAGCGGCCACCACACCGGCGACTGCAAACCATGTTCCTTCCTGTATTCCGCTCGGGGATGCAGAAATGGCGCCATGTGCATGTTTTGCCATCTGTGTGACAGAAGCGAGAAGAAGCGACGGCAAAAGATGAGGGCCGCTTTGGACAAATCTTGGCTTGAGCCGGTTGCATCTGTTGCATGTTTTTGATCCTTACAGCAGCATATAGCTGCTGTGCATGATCAACTTTGAAGTTCGGAACATGCTGACGCCGGCGTGACGGTTTTTTCTTGGTTTTCTTCGACAGCATGGAGGCCACACAGGTGACCTTCTGGAGCTGATCCATACAGCCGGATTGTACAGTGAATATGTAGCTGACCTGAACTGGCATGAAACAAGGCGTCACTCCGCCTGAATTCACTGCGAATGCTACTACGCGGTTCGCCTGACCTAAAGCGTCAGTGGTTTTCCAGCAGCTTGTCCGGGACAGGGTTTCAGCTGCAAAGCCACATCTGTTTCCCTGACCAAACCCTGGATGCAGCGTGCAAGGAAAAATTTGGAGAATCGGAGAAGATCCTGCAACTACCACATAGAAGGTCAACATTTTGCAGACCTCGACCTCAGAAACAGGCTCGAAGCACGAACCACGTCGCGGCGGCAGCCCAGCATTCCCTAGCAAAACCATGGCGGCAACCTTGAACGTCTTCGCGCAGCCTGGCTGTGGCAGGCAGCCCGGGCGACTAGCCATTTCGATTCCAGAAGTCGCCGAGGGCTTGGAAGATGACCGAGACATGTACTACCCTCCCGAAGCTGTGCAAGTGAGAAATACTTTCATCCATGTGGCAAGCCCGGCTGCGCCAGAGGGTGCATACCGAGCATCATTGACATGTCCTGCCTCGCACGTGGGCCTCATCCAGCAGACGATGAAGGAATGGCAGGATGACGTGAAGCCCGCCGAGGGCAAGCCAGTCATATGCCTAGAGGACGCTCTCTGTGGTGGCGCAGACATTCAGATGCCCTGGCCGTGTCACATGCAGAGCCCACAGATGGAGCCGCCAATAGCAGCTCCCCTTGTACCAGCACCGGGAACGTCGGAACTTCCTAGCGTGGGATCCAGCGGCCACCACACCGGCGACTGCAAACCATGTTCCTTCCTGTATTCCGCTCGGGGATGCAGAAATGGCGCCATGTGCATGTTTTGCCATCTGTGTGACAGAAGCGAGAAGAAGCGACGGCAAAAGATGAGGGCCGCTTTGGACAAATCTTGGCTTGAGCCTGCTGCATCTGTTGCATGTTTTTGATCCTTACAGCAGCATATAGCTGCTGTGCATGATCAACTTTGAAGTTCGGAACATGCTGACGCCGGCGTGACGGTTTTTTCTTGGTTTTCTTCGACAGCATGGAGGCCACACAGGTGACCTTCTGGAGCTGATCCATACAGCCGGATTGTACAGTGAATATGTAGCTGACCTGAACTGACATGAAACAAGGCGTCACTCCGCCTGAATTCACTGCGAATGCTACTACGCGGTTCGCCTGACCTAAAGCGTCAGTGGTTTTCCAGCAGCTTGTCCGGGACAGGGTTTCAGCTGCAAAGCCACATCTGTTTCCCTGACCAAACCCTGGATGCAGCGTGCAAGGAAAAATTTGGAGAATCGGAGAAGATCCTGCAACTACCACATAGAAGGTCAACATTTTGCAGACCTCGACCTCAGAAACAGGCTCGAAGCACGAACCACGTCGCGGCGGCAGCCCAGCATTCCCTAGCAAAACCATGGCGGCAACCTTGAACGTCTTCGCGCAGCCTGGCTGTGGCAGGCAGCCCGGGCGACTAGCCATTTCGATTCCAGAAGTCGCCGAGGGCTTGGAAGATGACCGAGACATGTACTACCCTCCCGAAGCTGTGCAAGTGAGAAATACTTTCATCCATGTGGCAAGCCCGGCTGCGCCAGAGGGTGCATACCGAGCATCATTGACATGTCCTGCCTCGCACGTGGGCCTCATCCAGCAGACGATGAAGGAATGGCAGGATGACGTGAAGCCCGCCGAGGGCAAGCCAGTCATATGCCTAGAGGACGCTCTCTGTGGTGGCGCAGACATTCAGATGCCCTGGCCGTGTCACATGCAGAGCCCACAGATGGAGCCGCCAATAGCAGCTCCCCTTGTACCAGCACCGGGAACGTCGGAACTTCCTAGCGTGGGATCCAGCGGCCACCACACCGGCGACTGCAAACCATGTTCCTTCCTGTATTCCGCTCGGGGATGCAGAAATGGCGCCATGTGCATGTTTTGCCATCTGTGTGACAGAAGCGAGAAGAAGCGACGGCAAAAGATGAGGGCCGCTTTGGACAAATCTTGGCTTGAGCCGGTTGCATCTGTTGCATGTTTTTGATCCTTACAGCAGCATATAGCTGCTGTGCATGATCAA